TGTCTTCGTATAGATAGACTTATACGAACATTATTTTAAATTGACTTATTTAAAATGTAAAGTAGGTGTATAATAATATCAAATAATACTAAAGATATCTAGTGTATATATATCATGCGTGACATGTGACTGTCCATCGGCTTGTTTCTTTTTATGTATATTTAAAAGTATAACCTATTTACTTATCTAAATATTTGTTGATGTGTCATACGATATATAGACTCGATTCATTATTTAAGTTTATATAATTATGTTCTTCAATAGGTACTAGTGCGAATTATCGATTTATTGTTATTTCTAAAGGCACACCCTTTTGGCTTTAGTAATTCAGAAAATTATGAGTTTCATATTTCTTAAGTTTCCAATGTCTTATCATATTAATTCTTCAGATCCAGATATTTTTGATTTCATTTTTTTACGTTCTAAATTTAATCGACCACTACATAACAACATTTCAGTCTTACAGTCTACATAGTTTACTTCTATTCATTCATTCAACATGTAGTAACAACGAACTTCCCTTTTTTCTGTCTTAGACAATACATCCTCTACAAAATTCCATGCCTACTTACATAACAATAAAATTAAGGGGAATTACCGTAGTCAAAAAGTGCTTATAGTAGCCAGTAATACAAATCTATACATGAAAGGAGCGGTTGTGATTTCGCTTCCTGCACTTTTTCTAATTTATTTATTGAAGAATAATAAAATAAACTCTTTGCAAAGTGTACCTGCAATACAACGAGCAGGTACCACGACAATTGTTCGACTCGAATCATGAGCCGTTATGTTGTTGTGACGAGGCGACGAGCTGGCGCCATATCTTGGGTTCTATTGTTAACAATATCTATTCTTAAATGTCCAAAGATGGACAGTATATTTGAGATTTTCAGAATAGAGTTGGTCAGTAATTGTCGTTCTTTTACATTCTAGGAGATTCTTTGTTAATCACTCGACCATTACGAATTGTGGATCAATTTTAATTGCTATCTCCTAGGAGTCCTCCTAACTACCATTATTAAAAAAAAAAACAAAAATATACTCATTGTGGTCTTTTAAAGGATGTTTGGCAAGATCGTCGACTTCAAAGTAATGTTAAGAATTATTAACATTTTCTCAGAGTTGATTTGCTGATAACAGGCACTAATGTTTGTTTGCTGTTTGGTAGTGACTTTATCACTATATCGGCGGCCGGATATGAACTGTCTCGCCGCCTTCCCGACTCTTATCGACAGACTCAATAGAGTCTATTCATATCCCACAAACTTTGTAAGTAATATATATCGTGTGATTTCGCAAACAGCTAATTCGGCTAAATGCTAATCAAGCGACCCGCATGGGGGAGGAACGAGATGACTTAATTGAGGGCATAAATAAACTCACAGTAATCAGCGGTGGTGATACTTTTATGCCGTCAAATAGTGGTCACGTGCAGGGAATTCGCTACAATTGGATCGTCATGCGAAATTAAGGGTGCCCTAAACCAGTGAATGATTATACAATACGACGTGATTATTATGTTACATTCAATATGTGATGTAAAATTAGAACGATCTTATTCATATGTACTTTGTAAACTGAATGTGTACATAATTAAAATGAGAAAACCATAGTTTTATTTATGTACAAATTTATGTTATACTATTATTTAAGTAAACTAATGGCCCATGTGACGAAAGGTGGTAAATGTTACTTAAAGAGCTAATTAGGATCATTGGCATTATGCATAAGAATTATTTATTCAATTTATTTAACAATTTATTATTTTACAACGGAATTCAAACGGCTAACAAGGGCTATTACTAATTTTAAATGGTGTAAGTTGTAACAAATTAATTACTATGTTCGTAATATTTTTATCATTTCAAATGAGAGCATAACTGTATCTTTATTTATATTACACGAAATTAACCAACTTTAGTGCTTTGTGTAGTAATACAGAGATGTGGGTGTTTTGAAGAATGAAAAACTTCTAGCTCTGTACCTTTTATGAAGAGTTTTTTTATGAGATTCTAAGGACAATAGAAAAGTTACTTTGACGATTTTCTTTTTTTAATTGAAAAGGTTTATTCACATTACGTTATGTCAAATTTCTTACTTTTTTAACAGTCACATTTATTGTTGTGGAAAAAAAAATTCATTTATAAAATTCATCTCTACCTATCTATAACAAAATTATATGATGTCGATACTTAGCAGATTTTTAAGAAATATCGATATGAACATATAGATTCTCATGTCGATTTTTATTAATTATTGTCTATGCCTGAATGTTTATTCTAGTAGCACTCAACAATTTCTGCACCAAATTAGAAGCGGTTTTCACTATTGTGCTCTTGAAGGTCGAACTTAAAATTTAGTTTAAGTTATATCTTAATATTGTAATACCCGTGTGGTCCCAGCATAGACAAGCCCGCTCCTTCCTTTTCCGTGGGTGTCGTAAGAAGCGACTAAGGGAACTTAATGGTTGAGGAATGAACAGCGACGTCTCTCTTAAAATATATCCAAAGCCTAACTGCTGTTGCTAACTCGCCAGTCAAGCGTGGCAATTACTAGCAAAATCCCCTAATAAAGGGAGGCCTATATTTTGCAGTGAACAATTAATGGCTGATATGGTATGGTATATCTTAATATGTCACCTTGAAATTACAGTTACCTACTTACAAATACGCGCGTACGAAGTCGCAGGCAAAAGCTAGTCGCAAATTGGTACACACGGTATGCTGCAGTATAAGATCAATTACTATAGATGATATAAATATTAATTTTTATTTATAAACTGTATACCTATGCAAACATAAATAGATGTATGTATACAAATATTTACAATTGAATTGCCTTTCGCGAAGAACTATATAAACTAAAATAGTTATGTACAATTTATAATTTCAGATTAGGTATTACACCGTGGGAATGTATGACACCGTTATCGCATGGGGCTCATTGTCAATAACAAAATTAAAAATAGATAACTAATAAACAATTTCGTCCGGAGTATCTAAAAATTAAATAAAACTCACTAACTTCTGTACACCAGAGGGAGACTTTGTACAAAAGTCGTTTGCTTGGGTGGCATACCTCTCTCCCATTCGTGTTTCAACTGTGAAGCAGTTGTGTTTGCATGGCTGTGTTTCGGTTTGAAGGGTGGGACATGGCGTGAATTTACAGGGTACAGAGGAATAACACCTGAGTCCTCAGGAATGGCAACGCATGGGGGGGTATCACGGGTGAAACAGTATACTCTGTTATGTCCATGGTACTGCTCTACTAAGGCGTCGGTTACCACTTTCTATTAGGTGGGCCGTCAGCATGTTTGCCCTCCTAAGTTGTATAAAAAAAATACACCAAATATTTATACCATATATATTTAACAGCTAAGAGGCTATACAATGTAACAAATAAATTCACTTAGATTTTTTATATTAGTCGATCAAGAAATTACCGCAGTTGCCATATGTAACACTAATGAGCTAGCAATTCAAAACTCAAATTAATTACTATACCGATACCTCTGGTTATCTCAGACGCTTTGATCTCTATGTTTGTATATAACATTTCTACAATAGTAATTTGACATTATAATATTAATTATCATTAAAAAGGACTCTCGTAAACAAAATCTATAAAAGAAATATTGAGTCAGTTATATTTTACATTTAAGTACCTAGTTCTTGGTGATCAGTAATATCTAAATAGTTTGGCTAAATTATGAAACTAAAATTTTAATTTTAGAAATATTTTTATAGAGAAATAAGTTTAGACAATGGCGCCTAAGAACCGATCAAGCAACGCCAGGGTAGTTCTCGATTTTTTTTTGTGTACATGTTACGCTAATTCTGAATACGTTGTTTTTTTTTTTCTAATCGATAGTTTACTCCTATAAAAATACACTATTATAAAAATGTATACAACCCTTAGGTGATGATTTTCCAAAATTGTCTCTCTTAGTTGCATTGCTTCAACATATAAGTTTTAATACAAAATTTTAAGTATACTGGGATTTTCAAAAATATCGGGCCTTCTATATAATTTTTTTTCCATGATTTCAATCTTTTAAAATATTTGACTAAATTATGAAATTATGAAATTGAGACTGAAATTAGGATTTTTTTATGACAAATATTATTAAATAAGCTGACGGTCCACATGTAGACATGGCCGACGTCTAAAGACATGAATAAAACCATGGAGATGGTAGAATACGCGATGGCGCCCATATTACTCGGCAAGGGATTTCCTTTCTAAAGAGTAAAATTTTACGCCTCTGTAAATTGCAATTTTAGTGTCATGTATTTTATTCATTAATAAATTCAAACTTTAATACACAGTGAATCTATGTACATATGGCGGACTTAACACCAGACGGTGTTCTCTATCAGTCAACCATTGGACAAACCGAGAAATAATTAGGCGATACATTATTGAATTGAAGAAATATAAAAAGTAATATAAAATAAATTCATATATTATAAATATATAATTAGACTAATATAAATAAGCACATAATATGTTAAATAAATAAATATATACATACATAATTTATTTATAAATAATTAAACATAATTATTAGATTATATTAAAATATTATAAATACATAAATATTACTATAACAACCAATTAAATGTATTAGAAGAGCAAATGAATCAATCTATGAACGGAGTAACCAACATTAATTCGCGAGAAACAAATAAAAGAGAATATATATATATATATATATATATATATATATATATATATATATATATATATATATATATATATATATATATATATATATATATATATATATATATATATATATATATATATATATATATATATCATATATGAAATATTTTTCATAAACATCATTATAAAATATACATAATAAAATAACAATGCATAGGTACGGAGAAGTATTACAAGTACAATACATTCGTACATATAACATGCACGGAACACGTACATACCTAATATAAAAAGTGGAAGACAACATTCCCGCCGAGTGCGGCAGCGACTGCACGCACATAATACATATTATATTTGTGTTATAAATTTCACGGGCCACGACAAGTGTTTGCGCAGCCAGGAATTTTTTGAGAGTACAATTCTAATACTTATCTCACCTACGCCTGATAAGTATACAGATGTGTAGGTATTTATCCTTTTTTTACTAATATCATGTTAGTTATCAATAAACTTGGCAAATAATTATATTTGCCAAGTTTATTGATAACTAACATGATAATCCAATTAATAAAGACATTTAAGTTTACGTATGAGTAGGTATACTAGCGATGCGCGAATCCAAATAATTTATTTATTCGAATAATTAGTAATAACTAATTTTATAATTCGCCTACTAAATTATTAATATACTAATTTCCGTATTCGTTTTATTTTACTAATTAGTAACTAATTATAACAAAGTCCTTTCTCTGCATGTGATTACTACTAAGTTCATTCCACAATATGTATCCATTACTACTAGATTACCAAAAAAACAACGCCACAAAATAATGAAATATCAGTTGTATAATACGTATAATACTTTTGCAATTTTCTATAAAAATGTACTTACTTTTTTGGAAACTTATATATTAGATATTATTAGTCGAATGATATTACTAGTCGTACGACATTAGTAGTCGGCTGACATTGAAATTAGTAATCGTATGAATAAAATTAGGAGTCGAAGATTTGAAAATTATTCGAATAATCTAAATGATTTGCAGTCGTATAATTAGTAGTCGAATTAGTGAAGTCACGCATCGCTAGAGTATACCCATCTATAGTAGAAACATTAAGCAAATCAATCGAATCGTTAAAATTCGTTTAGGCATTTTTTCCATGATGACGTAAGTTACAAACTTATTTGGAATTTGAGTTCTAGGTATTCTAGGTATTCTTTTTTATGTATTATTTTATTTATTTATTTAATACATAAAATGATACTGTTTGACATACCTATTTATTTCTAATAAACTATAAGGGGAATCCCCGTTTGGCTCGCACATAAGGAAGTCCATAATTACCGTATCGTAGTTTAGTTTAGATACCTATATTAGAATCTTTTTCAGTCCCGCAAATCCCTTATGTGCTGCTGTGCAGAATCATGAGGTCTGGCATGAATTTGCAGAATTAGATTTACTATTTTGGCCTTTTTAATAAATTACCGAGAAAGTCGACTGTTGGTCTTTTAAACAAAAGTTTCAAATTTGTTAATGATTTCGACTCAGGTTCCTCAGAGAAAGTAGTTCAGTTTCACGAATATATCGTATAAGCGTTGGATTTTATATTGTTAATATCCGCTCTCTCAATATGTGAACAAGAAGAGAAGATAATGATCCGTTTAAGTGAAGCTATGAGGAAATAGATAGCAATGTGTGATTAAAATTTTATATTATTTTAGTCCGTTTAGCACACCTTTTGTAAATTGGTATTGGATAAAACCCCCAATGATTTTAAAAAAGTCCACTCTCTCTAGGAAGATGTAAAAAATAAAAAATGCTCTGAGATATCGGTACCTAAAAAGTAGAATAATCACTGCTAAAAGCCAGCGAAACCACCCCCAACAACAATTAACCGTGGGAGCGTTCGCGGTGGTATTCACTAATGGAGCCTCCAAATCATCTTATTACATTCGTATTATTGTTAATATTTTTTGTATTATACAGGACAATGAGACTGACCGCGTTGCATAATGGTGCAGGGGACAGCTCTTGTGCAGTACGAGTATCTATTAGTGCGCTTTTTGCGACATCGGAATTTAGAGCAGAAGCGTACAAGAGATGGAATTATATCACATACCTATTTTTAGTTACAGTTAGATATCAAGGATTTCCATTATATATTATAGAAATAAAAAAATATATATGTAAATAAAAAACTTAAATGGTAGAGCCGTTTAAACTAGTTAGTCAATGGAAACTATAAAAATCTAATAGCCATAAAATTATAACGTTTTGTGATAGTTTTTCTATTAATATTTTTTCTTTCCATGATTTATTATAAAAAATATTGCATACCTATTACGCGTGCTCAATATTCTGTCTCTATGGCACTTATGTTGATGAAAAAGGCCCCTTGGGCGCCGGTGCCGCCTAGACATGGCACCAGGGTAAGGGCAGGCCCACATCAGGAATGCAAGTTCGCCAACTCTCACACGCCCAGGATGAGTTGATCTTTTTTAAAGGGCGCGTTTCTTGGAAGTATCTGCCGAGCGGTCGGAGGCTGGCGCTCGCCGACCATTGTGGCGCGCGGCTAGTTTTGATCTTATTGTTAATGGGACGCCAAGTTTTTTTAACGCTGCTTGGAAAAAAGGTATCATCGGACCCCAGCGGAAACGTTACGGACCCTTGTGAAGTAAAATGGATATACGTTCTACGAAGGAGGTGTTATTTTAATCGTAGGACGGCTTTGTTGTTCAGGAATGTAGATGGCCTGTCATAATTTTAATGGGCAGTTTCTCAGACGCTCTCTGATCCTGATGGCACACATGACCTGAATATTCAACAGGCCGTAGGTTCGCGGCTGTCTCCATAACATCCTACGAGTTCATGAAGACGTGTATTTATTGAATATATTTAGAAAAAAAAATCGATCATAATATCGAAATTGTAAAATTCTTCCTATAATATGCTATATAGACAGTTATTGTAAATTTATTGTTATATAGCTGTACTATACGCGTTATTATCTAAAGTAACTGTTTTTACTTTAACTTTTAAAATACAACAATAAGGATTCTCTCACAAATAAAATCCAGAATCCATGCATAGAAGCGTAAAAAAATATACATATGTAGATTACGTATACTACCTACCCGTACTATTGATTGATCTTTCTATTATTCTGAATAGATCTTCACATTGAGACGAAAATAAAAGCATAATTCAGTTCAAAGAACCACACACGATGTTCTTTTAATGATGAAATGAGATAACCGACAGAGTACAAGTACTTATTTACAATAAATATATTGGCCAATACATACGAGACCGAAACCAAATAATATAATTATTACTCGTTTTATTCACGAACCAAAAAGAAAATGATAAACAATTTTGAAAAATCTAGCATTGGCAAGGTATTTATTACATACACACGATAATGTTATAAAGCTTATATCACTTTAGCAATCATAAAGAGGCCGCAAATTGGTGCCTTTTTTACTCGAGTCCCTCCGGGCTTCCCATCTCGCTCTCTGGCAAAGCAAGTATAATGAGAGGTTGTTAAAATTATGAATGGAACATCTTCCAAAGCCATTCGTTGCCTGTGTGCGTAAGCCATTCTTGTTTAACGAACTAATGTTTGATGTCATTTAAAGTAGGAACAAACATATGTTTTAAGGCTAACACATTCTGTTCTTTAAGGAATGTACTTACATAAATAAGTATGTATTTCCAAATAAAAATCTTATAACCGTTATAAAATCACACGGTATAGGTATTTGTAGTTTGAAGGAATGACGAAAAAATATGTACGGACCATATGAAAAATTTACTAAAGTGTGAATAAGTATTAGTTGAAGAAGAGGCAATTATATTGCGCCGAATCTAAATGATAGAATAAATACAAATATGATGTGCTAACTTTTCAAACACCTATAATAGTGTGTAATATAATTTATTTCTCTACGTTACTATTTTATAGGTACTGCATTAATATATACTCCTATGTTGTACCAATCTAGGATAGTCGCCTGTGGGCACTAGATTAATATTTACTACGTACGCCTGAGGACTCTACAAGGTTTTTGTAATAGTATAATATAATATATCGCTTGTACTTTGTATTAGAGATGTCAGTGAAAAACGTATTAAGAATAAAAATGTAAAAGTAATAGGTAATCTAGTATAATAATCTGTGTATATTAATAAAATAATTAGTAATATTGATTGAAGACTTGTGGTGTTTCAATTTGACTTATCAGCTGTTTTATTTACGTGTTGATTAATACCTACCTAGGTATATTTTTTTTATTACACTGTATCCAGTACAAAATTTAGATTAATTTCACTTCAGAACAATACATACACATAGTTATTTAGACGTATTCCACCTCATAAATTTTTTTAGCAATATTAGTACGTTTTTTATTGCATGTTAGTCATACATTTTCGGAATACTTACGTGAGGCCAAACACCGCTATTTACTTCCATTACTATATTATACCTACCAATCCTTGGTTGTTTTCGTCAAAAGATACCCACACCTACTTTACCACTACTACTTCTGTATTAAGAATTGTATATATATATACATATCTGTCATATTTTTTTATACAACTTAGAATGGCAAACAAGCTGACGGCCCACCTGATGGAAAGTGGTGACCGTCGCAATATAGACATGAGCAGTACCATGTACATAACAGAGTATACTGTTTCGCCCATGATACCCCCCCATACGTTGCCATTTCTGAGGATTCAGGTGTTATTCCTCTGTACCCTGTAAATTCACACATATATATATAAGTAAAGAACATTATAATCAGTTCACATAGCATACTGATCTTGGACGTAAGCATACAATCATATCTAGAAGCCTATACTGACTATACCTATATCTTAGGTTTCATGATTTGAAAGAAGCAGCGTTTGTGTGAGTTCATTGTAAGAATTTAAAGGTCCAATTACTAGCGAGCCGCCATCCATTAACAACTTTATTTATAGTGAGATGAATAACTTGCGGCTTTTAATCAATCATGTGGGCTACCAGCCAACATCCGGTCCGGACGACAAATTGTCCAATGACTGCTGATCATTCCGCAATAAACCGAATGTTTTTATAGCCCTATCTAAAGTATTAATTTAAATATAAATACGTACTCGTATACTATTCTTTCAATTTCGTAATTCGTTATGATAGCATCGTAGTTATCTCAAATTGTGATGAAACTAATGTAAACAAGGATTATATTATATGTGACAATTGATGGATGGAGCTTCTCTTCACAATTTTATGGTCTGAATGTGAACTTAAATTATAAATCAACACACAGGATAGGCCTCGATAATCAAAATGTACTACATGACCAATCAAAACCCCACTAAGTTGATTGAATGTCAACTCATTTGTAAAGTGGGTTTTTATTTTGAATTATTTTGACACAAAAAAATTTGCGTTTGTCTTCTATAATTACAGGCAAAGTTTTATTTCGTGTTCTTAGTTTACAGGTTAGTTTCGAGAATATTTTACGTTTGGTTAGACAATAAAATATTTTTCTTAAAGTGCACTAGGTATAATTTGCAGTTTGTAAAAGATTTGTTTAAAAACCTTCGCTTTGTTTAAGAATTCTGCAGAAGAGATTTCCAGAGGTACAAATATATATGTAAATTCAGAAATTTCATTTTGCTATGGTAAGTGTTGTGTGTTTAAACTTATACCTACATGTTTAAATTTATACCTACTATTTCGACCAGTGTATTAATAATCAAGATAAATAGTAGCTTCTTCCCAAATGCTATGTTATGTACAGGTGTATTAAATTTCATGACGACTGGTTGAGCTATTAAGACGTCAAGAGCTAAAACAAACAAACACACTTTCACCTTTTTAATATTAGCAAGGAAGTAAAGATTATTTTTTAATATTATTTTCGTCTAGGCTTACCAAATGAAACACTCGAATGGATTGAATTTGTTTGATACGCCAAAAAATTATAAAATCACTTTAAGAACTTGATATGCGCTACATCCTCTAAGATTGCAAAGACATTGCGAATTCTTAGAAAAACAAGAACAATAAGGGCATTTAGCGTACTAAATGAGATGTGCAACTATCTTCTTTCACGTGGCGGCTAAATCCGCCCCGTTAAGCGGACTCGAGTAGCCAAAGGCGGCCGACCACCGCCGCTGCATGTACTCGCCCAAAAAACACCCCGAGATGTAACATAATATTTCCCAGGCAGCCTTTTATTTATTGGCTGAACAGCCAACAGTGTGCCGGCTGAGCGGACGGCGGCGCCGCGACAACTTTACTTCCCAGAATTGTACATCAACTCGCGTCTGCTCGAAGCCGTTACATCTATGAAAAAACAATATTTATGTCGATGAAAAAATACGGCTCGTAAGTTGTATTTATTCGAACACGGAGAGTTATGCGCTTTTTGTTTAGACCGTATTTGCAGGAATCCGCAGGTACCGCCTAGCGTGTAGAAATATTAATTTGTTAATTTGACGGTCAATGGGCGTTTCCGTGACTGTTCATTTAACATTCTTGGTCAGCATTACATATACGATCCTTTCTTAGGTTGCGGATGTATTCGTATTCCTAATGTTATTTGGTACTCAACAATCGTCATGCTGTGAGGGTTCTTACTAATTCAATTCTTAGTAATCAGAACGTAGCCAATTTATTAAAAATGCAACAAAAGATGAAAGAAATAGAAATGTAGCATTACCTATTGTGAATATGGAATTGAATGTATATTTTAATCAAGTTTTCTAAACACTTTAAACAGAGGGACACTTTGTACTAAAGTCGTTTGTTTGGACACCTCTGTCCCATTCGTGTTTCTACCGTGAAGTAGTTATGTTTGCACGGCTGTGTTTTGGTTTGAAGGGTTGGATTATGGTAGTGAATTTACAGGGTACAGAGGAATAACACCTGAGTCCTCAGGAATAGCAACGCATGGGGGGTATCATAGGAGAGACAGTACACTCTGTTATGTTCATGGTACTGGTTTATAGGCGACGGTTACCACTTTCCACCAGGTTGGACGTAAGCTTGTTTGCCATTCTAAGTTGCATAAAAAAAACTAAATTTATACAATTTGATTTATATATAATATCGTCGCTCAGTTATCTGTATTATACCTGCTTTTGAAACTGACCAAAGCAATGTCGTTATTACTAATTTTCCAATCAATTAATTTGAGCCTTACAAGAGCAGGTATGAGTTTTTCTTTAAATTCTTTAAAAAGATTGATCATTATACTGGGAAGAGCCAAGAAATTATTTACCTAAATTATCTACATATTATACTAACGCAGTATAGATTTTTTTTTTATAATTAGTAATTTTCGCAATTTAGTGAGTTAGTACGTCTTCACATTATTATGAAATTATACTGTTTAAGTTTTTACCCGCAACTTTATCTATTTGATCAAGTAATAATTACCCAAAATTTTGGCCGAGAATGTAGAAATCCTATATTCTATATCTTAGATTAATACAAAACATGTTTTAATCTGGGATATGGTCACACAATTCGAATACATTATACTCATATCATTGAAATTCTTCCACACATAACATTGTTAGTATCTAAATAAGTAACTGAAAGATACGGAAACGGTAACAGTATCAACACCAATTCCCTATTCTTATGGTATCGCCTTGTGTATCGGGCATCCAACTAAACAAGAAAGCGCCGCGTAAAGTCGCTCCATGAATGCACTTGACACCATAATAAATGGAAGTCTACGGACACAAAGGCGTATCGTAGGAATTTCGGCGCTTCCACTATGCCCGCGCCCCGCCAATTGTCACACCGCTCAACTAGTCATGCTTTTTAGGTTGATATTAATCTCTTTAACGCACAATATGCGGATTATTTTTTTTTTTTTACATCGAGATGATTGCTTTCTGAATTGAGTCGACAAATGCAAGTCAGTCAAGTTTGTAATATTAATAATTCTACAAAAAAAAAGACAATTAATCCCGATAATATGTATGTGAACAATATGTGACAAAAAAAAGTAAAAACAAGTCAACAAGCCTTAGATAAATAACTAGGTATAACAATAACCTCGAATTTCATGATTTTTCACTGTTTATAGTCGTGATACTATATTGTTGCCAACACCAGCCAACAATGTTTTAATTGTTAAATTGGCAATGCTTTGCATTAGATGTTGTGTGTACTGTTCGTTCAACCTCTAATAAAAATAATAACTGCATTATTGAAGAGTTTTAGTATCACCATCTAGCCCACCTAACTACCAACGATCAACTTCTATATTTTGCCCCTACATTTTATTACTTCGACATATTGTTAGCTATTTATAGAAATCCATTAACCATTATTACTATTTAGCCATTAAGATCTTTTCTTTGTAAAAGATAGCTCAGCTAGCTATGTTTCGCAAAGAAACGATCATACATGTACCTGACAAACACTACTTTTTTTTTCGGCAGTCGGGTAAAAATAATCAACAAAATGGGCAAACAAAATTAAAAAAGATATCGCGTAAGAGAGGAAGCTCAAGATAGTTTTTTACATCACTTAAAAATTTCTCTTATGCACTCTTCTTATACAAGTATGTAGCGATTTATCTATTATCTCAATGGAAACAGTGTAGAAAAACATACATTTTTATACAAAATTAATAAGATATCGTAACGATATTATCGTTACAGACCCACCATATGCATACTTATTTTTTTATTCCAAATATTGTTCATTCAATCGTTACGATAATACGAGTAATCACGTCATGTATCTGGGGTTTTAATATCTTTCATACTCATCTTTAAGCATCTAAATTATTCACTTCATTTTCTAAATTTCTTTGCTATATTTGAAATAAATGAATTAAGAAATTTAATTGTAATAAAGAAAATCTGCAATCCTATTAAAGTTAAGGTGTTTCGATGATAGGCTTATATAGGCTATACTAACAATTAAAAAAGAAAAACAAAATTCCCGACTCTTTTCAGCAGTAAAATAAATTTTACTAATTTTAGATAGCCTGCTCTAGTCTTTATCATAGCACCAATTTTTATTTAGTTCCAACAACTGTTTCCTTCACATGTTTGTTTGGCATGTTCGTTTTACATGCATAGCGTTCTCTGAAATATCTTTATGGTATTTATTACAAGACGTTGAAAATAAAATTACAGATTATACAAGTCTTCTTTATTATTTACAAATATGATTATCCTCATGTATATAATTATATACAGTACAGATTTAAAATCACTCAACTATGAATCACTGTCACTGCCCGAATAGTTTGCCAGAAGCGACAGACCCGTCGGTACCGGTGCCATTGGCGCTGATGTACCACCACTGCTCTCACTTTTACTGCTAGCAACCTCTGACTCTGTGACTGTTTGGATGTTATTAACTACAGTACTCTTCCCATCACTTACTGCTTCTGTTTTCTTAGTTCTAACAAGATTAGTTAATGGTTGCTTTGATAAAACTCCTATACTTCTGTTCCACGTCGCCTCTTTTTTTAATTCTGTCTTTTTAGGTGGAATTACTTCTATTTTTGAAGTTTTTGCTGGAGGTTCACCTTCATCTACATCCTCTATTATTTCTTCAGCGACTACTTTATTTGATGATGAATTATTAAATTTTATGGATCTGTAATAAAAGATAAAATTACATGCCAGTTATTTATACAACCAGTACACTTTTTGAATTAAATATATTAGACAGACTGTAGGTTTAAATTTAGAATATAGGAAACCATCGTGGACATGCAACTCAGCAAAAATTCTGCTCACTTAAACTTAATGCTTCATAGAGTACATAAGAACTTGAAATATAAAATGGTTTCTTTTTAGAATTTAGGCATCTACTAACAAAGATTTTTTTTTTTACAGAACTTACAAAGAAAAACAAAGGAATCATAGTATGCATATTATGTAGAAAAAAAATGCGTATGTCACTACAACACAAAAACAACGATTGTACCACCACTCACATTCACTTCTATGTTAGTTTTATTATGTTAGTTGAACACTCAACGGTGTACAAAAAAATATTTATGCTACCGCATGTTCGTTTGCCCCGTGTTATAAAAAAAAAATTAAAAATAAGTTACTGTTTTTCTTAAAACTTTTTTCTAAGATGTTTGTGTTCTTTTGTTATAATAACAATTCATAATATTTAATTAGATCCTTTACTAAAATCCTTCGTTTCAAACTCGCATATTTGCTAATAATAGTTTCTCAGTGATTTATTGCTACAAAATCACGTATGTAACTTTACTCAGAATCTCAAAAAATTATAAATTTCTAACCTGAGATAACCTTATTTTCTCATAAATTAGACCACAAAGGAATAGTTGTAATGCTCATTCGATAAAATATATATAAATGACTAAGATATTAAGCTTTTTCTTCCTTCTGTAAAATTGTAAAAACGCAGATATGCGGTATTTACAAACTGCTGTTCGACAGATTTGCACGCGTAACGACAATATATTTTTATTATCTTATTTAAAAATACCTTCCAACACACCATTCGACGGAGCTCGAACCCACATCTTACTGCTACCTGTGCTAAATGTGTTCCCAGTTACACTATGGAATAAATTCTATCAATTTGATAAAGCTTTAATCCCTTTTTTCAAATGTCACTATGATACTATCTGTTTTATATTACAAATAAAAAATAATATTTATAAAATGGAAAGGATACCTGATTTCTATCTATTCTGTTTTAACTAAAAGGGTATTTTAGTTTGCTCTGGATACAATCATAGCGCCATCTAGTGGCGAACACAACAAAGTAGATAGCATACAAACTTCCATGAAAGAATACATATAACTGCCAACTTTGACGGAAATTGATGAAATAGATCATTCGTCTCCCTTTGACTTAGTGCAACAATGAACTATGAGAATTGTCGATGATCCCAGGTTTACTCTGCGTGTTTTACCATTTGTACAATAGACTGTACTTAGAGGACTTGTTCGATATGATACCCACGGCCACTTTCTACCATCGAACAGCTCGCCATCGATAGGGAGTACAGACCCATACCCTAAAGCCTAGATGGTCGCATACAGCGCCGTTTCGAGATGTTTCCTCCCATGAACGCTCAGGCTATAGAATGATTAAGTTCATAAAACCTTAAGGTTTTTCTGAGAAACTACGAGGTATTGCAGATATTCATATCCTACGGTAACTGCTTACCATCAGGTGAGCCATACGCTTATTTGCCATCTCAGTGGCATAAAAAAACAATCATGATCCATTTTTAAACATAATTTACATATTGATTAGATAAATTACTTACTTTATAAACTCATCATCTTCTTTCTGTTCCCTCACTTTTCGCTCTTCGGCAGTCTCTGGTTGGTATTGTTTGAGCATGCTCTCATAGTCTACAGCGCGCTGCCGCCGGTTCAACTCCTTCAGTTCTTCCAAACTTTCTAAAAGCTCAATCTCTTGTCTTGACTGTTCTGTTCTATACTCTGTAAATATTTTTTAGAGAAATGTTAGAATTATTATTAGTCTTCATTCAGATTATTACAATTACATTTTAGCATTATAATATGTCGAATAATTCTCGGATGTTATTTATTTTTTTATTAGCAAAAGCCTCCTCCAACCAAAAGGTATATAATATAAATAATAGTACATAATCATATAAATATACTAAATAGACCAAAGTAAATCACACGTAATAAATATCAAGGCAAATTACAGTGATAGGTAATGAGATTTTACCTGCCTCTTGAACAAGGCAAGAGATTGTACTGACCTAAGGGAAGAGTATAGAGTTCTAGAGAAGAGTAGCTTGGATGGAGAAAGAATAGGAATAGAATTTGGAAAAATTAAACGAAGGGATCTTACACTGTGCAATGTACAACTCTGACAATCTACATGAAACTCAAAACACATCTTGAATTAATCAGGAATTGAAGCATAAAAGAGAATAAATAGTGTAAAGAAGAGATAGATATGCCAGTTCCTGCAAAGGTGAATTGAAAGCCACTTGAGTTGATTGCAGAATTCAGTGATGTGGTCATATTTGTGAAAAACATTGACTAAACGACTATCAAAATGTCATTTACATCTAAACATAAAAAAACCTTAAACAATGATAGGGAGAATAACAAACATTTATACACAATAGGAGCCACAGACAGCGCTCTATGTCGAGACTGTTTTGACGCCAAAGAAATGACTGTTCACGTGATCCTGTGGCCTATCAACATTTAGAAATCTTCGGAACAGTGAGGTTGCACTGTGAGGCCTGTGAAGATTCCAAGAAGTTTCTGTGCTTCTGGGCGGAGCTGGGCTGGCTGGCTGTACTAGCCATGACTCATATACATAATAGCTCAAATGAGAGGCTTAGCATAAAAAATAGAGTCCAATTTACTGGTTTTGTATGTCAGTAGATCTTTGACGAATCCATATTTGAAATTGCAAGAACGGAAGAGAAAGAAGTAGATATGGGCCTACTACCCTCATTCTAGAGCCCCTTCTAGCTAGCTCATCTGCGGCATTGTTACCATAAGATCACTATGCCCTCTTATACACTGAAGAATAACTCAGTTATTGGAAGATATCTTATCGAGTGAATGGTAGCATTCAATTATTAATTTGTTATTTGTCTTATTGTGTCATAGTGCTTTTAGTACCACTGCACTATCAGATAAGAAGCTAATGCCAATACCATTTATTCCTAGGTTATGTACAGCTGCAGCAGCCTCAGTTATTGCTACAAATTAGCATTGGAATATTGTTGTTCAAGTTTATTGATTTTCTCTAAAAATAATATCAGAAATGGCATAATCTAGAATAGAAAGTGATAGAGGATGTGCCAATGCAGTTTTAGTACCAAACTGGTAGAAAGTTTAGCAACTGATTGAAACTACCTATAGATGCAAATATTTATAAGCCATATTATCCAGAATATTTTTAAAATTACCTAATAATTTCATAGGGTTGTTTGCTTCCTCTTCCTTTTGCTCTTCTTCTTCCCGTTTCGCTTGTTCCTCAGCTAACTTTAATGCCATGAAGTTTCGGGTCGCCCCTGCCTCAATTTCATAGTCCGTATTTTTTGGATCTGTCTTGAAAGATATTTCTTGAAGACATCGAGTACACTGGAAATTTAAAATAATAGTTATAAGTATGTGTAGAATGTTATAACTTGAAAAGAATATATAAGACAGAATAAAAATCTCTAGACCAAATCTTTTAGGGGATAGGCAGGTATATATAAATATAAATGCAATCCCAAAACTTCAAATTGACCATATCTGGAAGAACAGTTGTGAACTGCTTTATTAGTTCTTTTTTTATTCAATTGTTTCGTTATTATTGTTTGTTTTATAAGAATTTTTATTTAAACAGTTAATGTAACCTATTAATGCTTTAACTATAGCTATTGAACTATAGTTGATACAACAATAAAATATTTGATTGTTTTATGGGATTAAATTTTATATTTATGATGATTATATATAGTCTTAGGTGGTTCTGTAATATATAATCGATGAAAGGCACATATTCACTTTATCAAATTATTAACAAAAATAAAATATCGAGCATCATGATTTACTTACTTTTATATAAAACCTGTAAATCCTTATGCCGAGATAATCCTCATTCTCAACATCTTCTTTCCTAGCATTAAATTTCTTTCCCTTGTAGATGTACTCACCGCAAGTAGCACAACGCATGTTGAATGGAGCCATTAAACGTACTGTGTATTGACGATTTTTCGCCAATTTCATACGAGGGATCTTCGAAGGATCGAAGTCCGGTGGATAGTATTTCTGGAATCAGACAAATTATACATGGCATTTAGCACTAAAAACAAGAATAAAAATTTTAAGATTTAAATTTAATGTTTACATCACTTAATACTCACATTTAACACTTTTCTTTCCGACATTTTAAACCAAAATTTATTATCAGAATCAAAGTGATAAAATAACAAACAGATACTATGAAAAATTGGATAAAAATAATACTTTAATGTAAAGAAAAATAAAATATCTGAAATTCTGTAGGATAACAGAAGAAAACACAGAGCAATTAGTACATTTTTTTTTTTTTTTTTAGTACGTTTGTTCCGTTTGGAACAGGCTAAGGTCGGAGACCATGCTGCCTAGTCTTCAAAAAGATAATTTGTCTGGAATTTTATTTTTCTAATGTCGCTTCAATTATTGTCATAATCTTCAATATTTCATTTGTCAAATCCGGTAAGTACATTTTCATAAATATCTTTTCTTGAGTTTTCTTAAACCAGTGGATTTATCAAATTAAAAATAAATAATTATAAAAAATCATTGTCTTGCAATTCAATAAAAGTATTCTTATAGCTCCTTGAATGTTGTAGTAATATAAGTGAAAATAGCTTTGAAACAAGAAGGAAATCTTAAGAGAAGCGGGATTGAGTGCGGGATATTTTCGGGTTTTTTGAAGATAATCCTAAGTTCGTCAAACATAATGTGTCTTTGAATGACAAATTCAGAGCAATCAAAAAAAAGGTGATGTAGAGATTGGGCTGTATTTGAGTTACACCATGTGCATGATGGGGAAGCGATCATGCCCATTCGGTGCAGGTGTTCGTTGAAAAGTCCGTGGCCGATTCGTAATCTACAAATATTGGTGTAAAATTTTCTGTTTGTGTCCTTTCCTTTGCAGAACCACGGTTTTCCAATACGCCAATTAATTTTGCGGTACCATTTGCCTTTAGTCTGTAATATTTGAGTCCAATGCTCCTCCCATTTAGTTGTAACGATTTTATGTATTCCAATACTACAATCTGAGTAACAAAGGGGTAAATCTTGAACACGAGCAGCACTTGAATTAATAATTTTAGCCAAAGTGTCTACTTGTTCATTCCCAAACACTCCAATATGTGAAGGGGTCCAGATGAAGATAATATCTTTTCCATATATAGTACAGAGATGATAATATTTATTACGAATTTCTTGAATTAAGTAGTTTGATGATGAAATGAATGTGTTATTTTTTAATGCCATAAGAACACTCATACTATCTGTAATTATAATCCATTTCGAATATAGTACCTGTTTTTCTATGTATTCTAATGCTAAAAATATAGCTTTTGCTTCTGCTGTGTAAATACTAGCCAAAGTTGAAATTTTATAACCGTGACCAAATCTATTTGACAAATCGTAAAAAGCCACTGAAGTGCTAAGTGCATTTTTGGAACCATCTGTATATATCTGCCTGTAGTCAATAAATTCTGATAAAGTCTCATACATATCGTGCTTTTCTTTTATGTCTTTACGTATAACAATTTTGATCTTACAGAACTTACTCTCATAAAGGCCATTATAACAAGGAAGTATCTTACTACTATAGATGTTATATTCATCTCGTAAATTCAAATCATTGACAATAGTTTTATTCAAAAACATAGAAATGGGGCAATTTAATAATTTGAGTATGAGTGGGTTATTGGAAACTGAAAAAACTTTGAAGAGAAATTTGAGTTTTAGGTATTCGAAACGAAGAAGGATAGGAGGCAAATTACATTCTACTTGCATTGAGATAATTGGAGAAGTATACATAGCACCTAAAATAAGTCTTAAATTCATATTTTGAATTTTTTCGAGTTTTTCTACTAATTTATGTTCTGAGGCATAACAAAAGAAAGCGTAATCAAAATTACTTCTAACAAGAGATTTGTAAAGTAAAAGGATAATTTTAGGATCAGCTCCCCAGTTACGACCAATTACAGATCTTATTATATTAGTGGCTCTTAAAGCACGATCTACTAAGCAATCAACGTATAGATCCCATTTTAAATTTTGATGAAAAATTACCCCCAGAAATTTAACGCTACAGTCTGTTGGAAGAGTTTGATTATTATATATAATATTCATTAATGGAACATATTTATGAACTTGATGAAAAACAACTACTTTACTTTTGGTTAAACTAATATCGAGGGAAAGAAGAGAAAAATATTTCTCAAGTCTTTTTAATGACTCATTTAACACTAATTGCATATCAATAATATTCTTTCCTTTTATATAAATTAATAAATCATCGGCAAATTGCAAGTTGTTCACACTGTTTCCTAAAATTGAATTAAGTTTATAGATATATAAAATATATAGTAGCGGGCTTAGAATACCACCTTGACATACTCCTTTAGAGCTTAACCTAGGTCCTATTAATTTACTATTTACTTTAACATACACTTCTCTATTACTAAGAAAATTATAAATCCATTCGATAAGTTTCATTGGAAGAAATGAGGATAAAATCGAAGATAGAACTGTTAAATTTACATTGTTAAAAGCTCCTACGACATCTAAAAAAACAGATAGAACATATTCATCGTTATTCAAAGCAGTATTAAGGTCGACATAGAAGTTCGCTAAACTTTCGCGCGCTGAATATCCACGGCGAAAACCAAATTGATTCGATGGTAATATACTATTACTTTCAATAAAGAACTCTAAACGCTGTTTAATTAATTGTTCGAATAATTTGCCTGCACAGGACGTCAATGTTATAGGTCTATAGGAGTCGAAATTTGTAGGATCTTTACCGGGTTTAATTACTGGAATCAAACAATCCATTTTCCATTCTGGTGGGATAATACAGTCCTTCCATAAATCGTTAAAAATTTGTAAGAGTTTAGTAAGGTTTATTTTATTCAGCAATCGAAACATATTGTATGTTAAGCGATCAAGGCCACTAGCTGTATCTTTTCTAGATTTTACTGCACTGGATATTTCATCAATTGAGAATGGGTCAGTGAGAAATTTTGGGCATGAATTAACAGAATTAAACTGTTTGTCATCAAAAGATGAGTGTACAAAATCAGGAGTATATTTGCGTAAAAAATCATTGACCCATGATATATCTTTAAAATGATTTTGACGATGTTTTGAATTTAGTTTTCTCATATTTTGCCAAACAGTGGAAATTGGTGTTAATCTATTAAATTTGGAACAAAATTCCTGCCACCCCTGTTGTCTTACTTGCTTAATTACTAACTTTTTAACAGCTTGAACTCTTTTAAAATTTATGTAATTATCGAGAGTTGGATTTTGTTTAAACCTAAGGTAAGCCGCTTTACTATCATTGACAGCTGTCGCACACCTGTTATTCCACCAAGGTACTGCAATATGTTTGTGCCTCTTTGAAGTATTTGCACCGCTATTTGATAAGTTCCTACGTGGAACGGAACGTTCCACAGCTGTCAAAATAATTTTACAGAACCTATTGTAATTGTTTAAGGGTTCATTGACATCATACTCGAAATCCAAAAGTAATTGATTAACAGTTTCAGAATAAAGATCCCAATTAACGAGACGTAGGTTTATACGATTTAACAAAAGTTTATTAACTTCATCTATAGGAGCATGTTGTTCACCTGACGGAGTTGATGAAGAGTTCTTTGTGTTTATTTTAGTAAAAGTCGGCAGGTGATAACTTCCTAACGGATCATCATGAACCGACCACTCGCATTTTAATGATATGGATGGGGATACCATAGTTAAATCAAGGCCATTGGGTCTCCAAATATGAGAGCCAACAGTAGTAACTTGCTTATCATTTAATAGTACCAAATTACATTCATCTAAACAATCAAGAATGTCTTTACCTCTTGTATTAGTGGAGGTACAACCCCACATAGTATGATGTGCATTTAAATCTCCAGATATGATAGTGGGTTTAGGAAGAGACTCCAAAAAGAACTTAAATTTGGCTTTAGTAAAACTAGGTGTACTATTGGTAGGACAGTAAATACTGGCAACTGAATACCAAGAATTATTAACTTCAATACTAATAGCTATAGTTTGCAAAGAATTGTCGAAAAAAGAGTGAAGTTTTTTATATCTAATACTATTATGTATAATAATCGCTACTCCATTGTGGTTATTACCACAATCATTTCGTTCTATACAATAATCTTTAATTTTTAATTTGTAATGTGGTTTTAGCCAAGTTTCTGAGATGAGAGCAATGTGAATATGATGTTCATTTAAAAATTGTGTAAAAATAAGTCGATTGCTCAGTAGGCTCTGAGTGTTCCACTGTATAATAGTTAATTGGTCTCGATTGAATTTTGTGAAATAGGTGTATTACCAAAAGTATCATATAACACATTCAAAACACTTTTAGTGTTAATAGATGTGTTCTTTGTGTTATGTAGTGAAATAAGTTTGATTATGCTTTCTATTAAAAGTGATAAACTCTTGTTATCAGAATTTAGAATTGAAATTAGGTCTACATTTTTTTTAGGTTTGTTACCCAGTTTAGGAAATATTTCAGTGCTAAGTATATCTCCAAAAGAAACAGGTCTGAATTTAGATCTATTTTCAGCAATTTTCTTTTGTTTAACAGGGCATTGCGGTGATACACTTGTGTGATTTCCATTGCAGTGTACACAAATAGCGTTTTCCATTCCAGTTGTACAAGTTTTATAATTATGCTCACCTTTGCAGATGCTGCAACGCTCAGAATTCTTACAGAATTTAGCTAAATGTCCATACCTCAAGCACCGGTAGCATTGTTTAACTGGTGGTATATATGGAGTGACATTGTGGCGCCAACCTCCAATATCCAGATATTCAGGTAATACAGATGCAGCAAAAGTAATTGTCACGGTTAGAGTTGGCTGTAACACATATCCATGAGTCAAGGTATTTTTTCTTAAAATTCTTTTAATAGCAATAATTTTCTTAGAACTCGATATCATAGTATATATTTTTTTATTAGATATATTTGTAGGTACATTTCTAATAACGCCTGTAACTTCTGTTGAAGAAGCAGGAATACTGGCCTTAAAATGGTAGTCATTTAAAAAAGTTTTATTATTTAAAAAAGCATTGGCTAAGTCTGGCTTTTGAAAGTATACTCCGATTTTGAATTTATTTATAGATCTAAGATAAGTTACCCCTTTATTAAATCGTTTTAAACAGGAGGAGAGTGAGAGCAAGTCTCTGGATCCAATGGTTTTCTGACTATCTGAGGATTCTACAAAGACAACAAATTCTGTCCCAGGGGATTCCTCGGGATATCTTCTAATATAATCTGTGACGTAGTAAGGTTTATACTTATCGGCCTTATCAATTTCAGATTCTGAGTCAGTAGAAGTATCTTCCGAATATATATCCTTGTCATTACAAGGTTCATGGTCTACATCACCTGAATCGTCATCTTTTTTTTTCCTTTTTCTACAACTGCGCTTCCCCATGAATGCTAATTATATTACTGTCGCTGAATTTAGTGAAAATATAATATTTTATTCAATAATAAGAATTGATAGAGATAGTTTTAATAAATTAATAAAAAAAAATTTAAAAAACCCGCTTGTTCTTATTTGAGTTTCCCGCCTTTTTTTTCGCAATTAGTACAAAGCAAACCTATGTATTTAAATCTGTCGACTTGACAAATTAATCTTCCATAGAGCAGTAATCAAAGTATTCTTTCTGTCACTGTCATGTTGTCGAATTTATATTGCAAACAAATAATTAGTCTTTAGCCTAAGATATTGGAAAAAAAGCATATATACAACACAAAAATCATACACTTCACTGTGTTTACAAGTTATTAATATATTAGAAAGATATAATCTTATCCGTTTCTGGAAGTCAAACCGTGATTTTTTCTTTCTTAGGCATTACAATTATAAAATCGAGAGTTTCTCTACCAACTTTTTTACAAAATATTTATTATTGTTTCAGGATATTGCGTTTAAATGTGTATTTACAGAATAATTACATGAAAAATGTGCAATTTTATCATTTATTTTCCTGATTTATGTTATATTCATGTACAGTACACTTAATTCCAACAAACTACATTCTTTTGAAACTAAATCCACTTGTAAATGTAAAAAATAATTTTATATACATTTTCGCAAAATCAGCTCCGAGCATATATTGTGAAAATTATTGTCCTGTTGTTATCTCGCTCTAACATATAGGTTACTACTTTTTATATTATCAATCTATATACTTCATAATCTAGTAGTAGTACTTTCAATTTATTCGCCATAGTCTAAGTAGGTTCATATTCTAAATCAAGCAAGACCGCACAGTTACTATTCTTAATCTAGAGGCGAGGGTGATAGCTACAAACGATTACCACACACTAGCAAAGTCAAAGCTAATATTTAAATAAAATTCAGATTGAGTTATTTTTTTATTTAAACAATTTTTTATTAAAACAGGCACAAAACAAATTTACTTTCAATTCTAATTATGAATTTTTGAAATCATTATCACTGTTCAGGTGCTTTAGAAAAAAAGGAATTTTCTGAAACAATAAAAAATTAAACGTTTATGATTAGTAAATTTTGTAATATATCTAATTAATATATATACCCAACCAGGTCGACCTCCTCGCGGTTCCCCCTGGAAACTATCATGGTTAATTCCTGATGAATTCATCATGATGTGCTAACTGGTCTGTTATCATTCTCATCTATCACCCTTCACTGGTGCTCCGCCGGCGTATCTCGTTAGCGCTGGCGGGGTTACCATACCATTTTCACTCATCAAAAAAAAATTAATATATATGTATAACAAATTGTTATAGAAATTTATCACGCTAGTTCCAGTACTGCGAAAACAATGTTTTAATATACAACAAATAGAGACATCAATAAATACACATACAATTGCATACAATTTGCAAACTAAATGGTCATCGCAGTCAATAAATATTTGTAACATCAGTGATCATCATTGACAATGGCCTGTTACCATTTTTTTTAAATAGATCATAATGGAATGGTACGGTCTATTTTAATATAACTTCATGAAAATTTTAACAAATTCCACAAATAAAAAATCAAAATAATAGATTGAATGTTTTCATTTGCTACTAATTTTATTTAAAAAGTCTTTCTGTGATAATGTTAACTTCTGTTGAAATAAAGTCTACCAGTGCCACCGGTAAACGCTAGCCGGGCACCAATGAGCGAAGACAGGTAAGGCGGACGAAAGTAGTTAAATTGGCCCATTGTGACGATTTCGTCTAATTCAAATATTATGAAAGTGTTTTTAGTGGTAAACAAGAAAAATGTAATATCAAAAATTGTAACACCTACTAACCGTTCTCGTCTATTACCACCCGCTGCGAGTTCATGTTCTAGCGCAGCAATTTTTTCTTCGTGTCGTGTACGCTGCGCCTGCGCTCGACGCTGTTGCTCCTCCAGCGCCAGCACAATCTTCTCGAGTCGGTGTATTTGCTGTTGCTTATTTTCTAAAGTAGTGAACAATTCCTGGATCTCATCTGCCTTTGCTGCTATCTGCTTGTTTACCTTTAAATGACAAGATAAATTTTGTAATATCTAATTATCTGGATAGATATGTAAATACTCTATAGATACTTAAATCAAACTTTAATGATTTTTTTTCTGATAGTATTAATAAATTGATTAGCATGTCATTTAATAAATAAATTCATTGGTTGGTCAAGAAAAAAAATACTAGACGCTCATTTAAAAAAGGAATTTTCGTTGTACATATTATATATAAGTAGGTGTATATTATGTATAAATAGGTGTAGAAAACATCGATACGGCTACGGCTACGACGTACCAATTTAAGATACTTTTTAATAATGTTAAGATATCATACAATATGGCCCATACAATTTAGACCTAATAGATTTAAAATAAAAAATAAATAAAATGAAAAAACTGTATCTCACTTCATCTACAATTTTCATACGATGTTCAAGATCTTGTTGTAAAGCGGCAAGTTCTCGGCTCTGCTCCGTTTCTTTGTTCTTTAACATGTTGATCAATTCTTCACGCACCTATATTACTTAGTTGTTATAATATGTCGGACATAAGTATATAGTACCTCGAGAAAAGAAAACTACATGGATATTAAGGAAATGCCATTTCGTTTTGAAGGATGAAAGCAATAAGGAAGGACCTTTATGACTCTTGCCTGGGCACGTGATGTCTTGTCTTGTTGCTCAAGTTGTTGTTCCTTTTGCATTAATATCTCTGATAACTCTTCATTACGATGTACTGTTTCAAGTAGTCCCATTCTGAGGTTCATGATCTGAAATATATTGTTAGTATCTACAATTATATATGTATATATTAAAAAGTGAAAATGTTTTAAACATTAGAATTCTTTTGTAAAATTAATTTTCCTCTGTGTATTGTCTGTTAGTCTATTTAGACTAAGAGACAACACACAAAGAAGACAAGACAAGAGAAAACAATGTTTTGCATGAGCAATGTAATTTAGATATAATAAGAAGCAACATTTTATAGAATCTACGATTATAAATATCAACCTCTTGCTGCAAATCTTCATAGCTGATACCGTTAGGTGCTTCTTGACAGTTGGCAACAGTGCGGTTGTATGCCTGTAGATCACGTACGTATTGCTCATATTGTATAACTTTCTGTTCACTACAATGACAAACAATATTATTTCTCCAACATTTTAACTCATAAATAATATGTTGAGATAGGGTATAATACTAACTTTAATTTAATATTTTTTGTTAATTCTCTAATTTGCATTTGCATCTTGCCTATAATTTCCTCTTTACTTAGGAGCTCAGCTGCTAGTTTTTGTTGCAATCCTACTTTGTTCTCAGATTCCTAAAAATAAATATAATTTTTTAGATATTTTACTGAACTTGCTATTATTTTGCGGAAATCCATGTCACTGGTTATTTGATTAGAAATATTTTATTTGGTTCCGCTACCATTAGTATGTGTGCGATTGCGAATGGAAAACTGTAGAACTTCTGGTATGAATAATAATAATAGTGGTCAATCTTCGAATGTTTGCACTAATTGTTACTTATACGAAAGAACCACTCCATCTTGTTCCTTTCGTGTTTCATACATATGTATAATACTTGGTGTATTACACAATCCAATATAAAACAATTTCAAAAGTATTTTTTGAGCAATCTATAGTATATCATTTCATTCCATGTAATTGCATAAACAATAATTTGAATTCGAATGTCATGGCAAGTACAAAATAAGCAAACTGTCATTCCAGACAAGTCTCTGTGGTTTTTGATATACCTGTTTGTTATTTTTGGTTTTATAGCGAAAATAAATAAATAAATACCTAATTTCATTCCCACCTCATAGTTTTCCACCAGCTTAAACCAATTGCGGGATGGGATTGCTATTCATATTTTATTAATTAAAAAATCCCATTTCTTGATATACTACATTTTTAAAATTCATTATATTTTATTTTTTAATTCAGAAACTCAATACCTATTGTATTTCTCATCTATTAGTTAATTTCATGTCTAAATTCTACACTCCAAGACTTACTGGCAAACTCTTAAAACTTCAAAGTGTAAATATATAAAGAGAAATATTATATAAAGATAGGTGTGTATTTTAATGAATAGTTTATTTTCATGAACCATTCAAGGGATTCTTACAGGCAGTTTGCAGAACACACTCAATCAACTACATTTTTTTGTTTAATAATATAGGACAATATATTAAAACTGAAGACACCAGGACCCCTAGTTCACTTCTTTAACATTTCAGCTCTATTTTGAATTCTTTTGTATATTTGTAAGAATATTTATTTTTCTAAGAGATATTGAAAACTATTTTAGTATATGTACTTAGTTATTTAAATCAGTCGATAAATTATTTGTATATTATATAAACGTAACATAGTCGTTTTAGATTTAATCACCTCAGTGATGAAGCATAAAAAGTGTCAGGTACATACGACTGAAAAAAATAAAGCATGTGGCGTTATTTTAGACAACATATTCAAAATTTTCAGTACTGCTATTTTATTATTATATTATTTTTTAGTAAATGCATATTTGATATTCTTACCGCTATTTTTGTGAGTGTTTCTAAAAAGTGAACTTTTTCTCGTTTACATGCAGTTACTTCCTCTTCTGTAATGCGTAATGTTTCTTTGGTAGCTTGTAAATCAGCCCATAAGTCCATCTCTCTTTCCGTTGGTAACTCTAGAACATAAAATTTTAATTGCTATTTACTTAAGGTTCACGTTAAATGTTTAGTATTTATGCATACTTTGAAGGAAGGAAACTATTGGTCCTATTACTAGCAATATACCTTGACAGTTTAATCTCCACACGAACCTCTCTGTAAATCATTATGGCTAATTAAAAATCATATTGCGCAAATTGATCCGGCCTAATCATCCTCGCCCATCTGCCCTCATTGGTACTCCATCAGCGTATGTATATCGATAAAACACAGGTGATGTGATCAATTGATTATTACCATTATTATAAAAAGTGTACCGCTCTTACTTATATATATATATATATATATATATATATATATATATATATATATATATATATATATATATATATATATATATATATATATATATATATATATATATATATATATATATATATATATATATATAGATTACCTGGATTTGGCCTACTTTTTTCAATTTCCACAATTTTGGCCTTTAATTCCTCGATTGTATTATTACTCTTAATTAATGAAGCTTCCGCAGCCTGTTTCAGTTCAGTTTCTTTCTGTATTATTTTTTTATGTTCTTCCAAGCTATTTTTTAATTCTTTTAATTGATTTGTTAAATCTTCTACAGCATTTTTGTGTTGGGCTGTCATTGTTTCGATTTGTTCTTTCAACTCTAATACCCTTAAGAAACAATATCATCTAATTAATAAACCAAAGCATAAACGAGAACTAACAATCAATATTTACTTTGTATATTTACATTGAACAAAAAGCATAATTAATTATTAAAATATTTATAACTTTTTCACAATATTCAGTGTATTTCGTTAAAATACTGTCAACATTATTTCAGATATTTAGATTAGTGAAAATCATTAATTAGTTTTAATAGCTAAAAGAGTTAATTTTTTTATAGTTAGGGATGAAAGATAATAAAATAGATCTCGTCCCATGTACTAGTTATGTCCATGTCAAAAGGAAGTGACGAATTTGGGTGGGTAGTGAATGTGAATTCATGTTATTTGTTACAATGGATGAACGACTGAGACTAAACTCACTCTGACTGAAGCGCATTACGTTGCTGAGCAATTTGACCGCTGGCTACTTCTCCGGTCTTTAAGGATTCTTTTAATTTTCTCGCGCGAGCTTCTAATTGTACTTCACGCTGTCGACTCTACATTTAGAATTCAATATTAGTTAAAGATGTAATTTTATATGACTTGAGTGGAATAGCAGAAAACTGATGATAAATCATAAGAAGAATATGTAAAGTGGAAACCAATAATGGTATAGTACAACCAAATATATGTGTAAAACGAAAGTAACTTTATACAAAGTTTTACTTGTAATATGTCTATCTATATCTAATATTTATCCGTATCACGTTTAAAATATTTTATTAATTATAAATATAATATACGAGGGCGGTCGCACGGAAACAACTTTGTACCATTAGCGCTCGCGTAAATAACTGTTATGGTGAGCGTATGGCTGACTATCTAGTTCCTCGACTTATTAACGAACTACCCACCGATGTACGGAATAATATTACTATTAGCAACATCAAGTGTAAATTAAAACGATACTTTTTGCATGATTTTAATACAAATTAAATAGTTTAAATGTATTTAGTATTACTGTAAACCTACGTGGTTTCTGAATGCTATTGTAACATAATTTCTGTAATTCTGTATTTTTGTGATAAAAAATAAAAAAAAAATATATAGAACATGAATAATAAAATACCTGATCCTCTAAAGTCTTCACCGTGCCGGTAAGACTAGAAATACTGGCTTCAGCCTCACGTAATTGCCGATCCATTTTTGTAATACGTATACGTGCTTGGCGAAGCTGTGATTCTGTGATGGAGAGCTTCTCTTTTGCCGCTGTTTTTGCAACCTTTTCGTCTTCTAATTCACGACGTATTTCCTAATAATTAAATTTACCGTTACGTGACGGAAATATTTGTACAACCAGTTGAAGTGAGCATATTAATATTATATATAAAGCAAAATATTAATAGAGATAGTAACCATGTTTGAAGATTTAAAAAATAAAACATTTTTAAAAACAAAATCTCAAAAAATCAATAATACACTTGATTATACAATATTATAATAATATGCAAACCTCGAGTTGTTTAGTAGTTTCTGTTTCAACATGAAGTTCACGCATTTCATTTACTATACTCGTCCGTGATTCGATATCTTGACGAAGCCGTGCTGTTTCCCGTACCAGTGACTCTCCAACAGCTAGAAGAGCACTCCGCTCGCGACATGCTCTCCTGTAAACATTATTAAATTCTAACGACCCGCAGATGAAGATATGCAAATCTATTCTTGTTTTCGACAATAAATTTTTACTTAAAATATTATAACTGTTACAATAATTTACTTTGAAATCTGCGTCACGGTATCCACAACATCGTCCGCACAAGACTTTAGTTCGCGTAATGCCTCACAGAGCTCTAGGCCTTGCGCGTTGTAGCGTGCAATACGCTCAATAGACTCGCCGCTTCCATTTTCCTATTTTGTCAGTGATATATAAATTATTATAATGATGACTACAAACATATTATCCAAATTATATCAAACAACGGTAAACTACAACATACATTTTTCTCGACCAATTCCTTAACCCAGTCTATAAGCTCTTGACGTGCTGTGAACGCCTGGAGACATAAATCGGCAAATTTAGCTGGTACGTTTGATGCTTTTGCATCTAATTCGGCAAGAGCACATTCATCTAAATAGAAATAGAAATATTATTCAATTTTAAAATTTATAGATTTAAACAATTAGATAATAGAATACTAATCACCAATAGAAGCGCTTGTGGTGATAAGTTCAGCAGCTCCATCTATAGTGCGCGAGGCAACAGCATCGCGGCATAATTGTGTAATCTCATCTGTCGCCCAATCCGCAACATTAAACACTACTAACTCCTGCTGATAAAGACTTTCTTCCTCGCCAGATACACCTTCCTGTGACATACGTTCTCGTAAACTACGTAGACTGTCGAAAACTTCTAGTACTTCTTGCTAAAACAAATTAAATAGACACTCAGTAGCCTAAACAGAAATTACAAATATGGATATAGTTTATAGTAACTACTATGGATTATATATGAACTACAAATATACCAAATAAGAGCTTACTTGTTTCAAATCTAATTCCTTTTTCATATGATGAAACTGTCGTTGTTTCATAAAATAAGCTGTTTTTAGATCTTCATCGTCCAAAAAAGAGCATGTTTGAATTTGCAAAACTGGTGTTAATCCTTTTGGAATTGGAGATGGGAGAGATGATGGGGTTTTGGGTCTATTAGGATTGGATAATTGTGGCGTATTAGGGCGGCTGACGGGAGTGCAGTGACGTGGTACAGAATGAGCAGGAGTAGTTGGTCGACTAGATGGGCGAGGAGTTTGAGGCCTGCTGGATTGTAAGCTCTTGGGTGTCTGCGGTCGACTTATTCCAGGTGTATGAGGTCGACTAGTAGCAATACAATCTAAGGGACACAAATAAGGTTGTATACATTATAATTCTGAAACTGCTATACGTATTTATAAATTTTTCCTGCTTATTTTGCATATATATATATATATATATATATATATATATATATATATATATATATATATATATATATATATATATATATATATATATATATATATATATATATATATATATATATATATATATGCACCTATTTCCATAATATTCCCGCCCTCAGACATTGCGACCGCAATGTAGATTAGCAAGACCATTCTCGAAGCTACAGTTATTCCATTCAGGCCCTTACGCAATGTCAATAAAAATTTACAAAAAAATACCAATTAACTTAAAAGGTGAGGATGATTCTAAAAAGTTTAAAATAGCTCTAAAAAAATATTTAATTACAAAAAGTTATTATACACTACAGGAATTTTTCAATGAAAAAATTTAATTGTATTTGTACCTATTTGTTTCAATGTAATAATGTTTTATTTATTTTATGTTAATCGACAATACATATATATAATGTAAAAATTTATTTATATACTTTATGAAATATTTTTTAATGTGATTGCTGTGCCCTTCCAGGGTTCATGTTGATTCTATACTTTTAATAACTTAAGACCTATATTGTTACAACTTGTAATAGCAATAAATGATTGAATTGAATTGAATTGAATACTTCAGTAATACCACAGTTTAAATAACAGTACTAAAATAATAATAGTAAAGTATGGATAGTATCTTCTGTCATTTGCGATTAGAACTCACCCCTTCTTAAATATGCATCAGCGCCCATATGTAATGGATGACTCTAGTCAACGCTTCAGTTGCCGCCAAAGTCAGAAAAGAATAGAAGATACAATATTTACGAGTAAAAAAATAAATAGCTAGTCGCAACTAGTTTTAATTTTTGTCGAATTCCAGAGGTATTTAAAATTGACTATCGTTGGGCTGCAAGCAACAATTAACTTAGAAAATACCCATCTATCATATCCCATTCTATATCGGGACCTACACGGCTAAAGTTCAATGTGATTCGACTTGACCAAGTAGCTGAACTACTTTTTATAATATAATAATAATAAAATCCAACCAACTATTTCACAATTCAAAACTAATAATATATGCGTTAACCTTTGGCAGGTACCGAACGAATATATGACACTTCGGTACATAACTGCAGAACTACAATAATTCGATATGTATATATAGTATTAACGTTAAGACAAAAATATAAAGTATAACTCACTTGATATTTGATGTAGATCTGTAATTTCATCAGAATTTGCTTCTTTTTGCTCTAATTCTGTAAAAATATTATTACTTTAATAGATATGACATCTTTTATGACAATAAAACGAAGGAATAATTAAATATTTTTACCACATGCATCGAGTTGATGATCCTTTTCTTTATTCTTATGACCATCGTGATTATCAGATACTTCTTCTATTATGACGTCAGAAGAGTTATCAATGATATATGTATCAGTATCTTCTTTAGATGGAACCTGCATATATTATACAGGGAAATGTATTAAACCGAATTAAGTACAATTACTATAGCCTATTAATTTTGTTTTGTCTCATACATCATAACTTACAGTAAATGTGTCAAAAGCCGGAGTTTCATCATCGAGATTTCTATTTATCTGCAAAAGATTACATATTCAATTTCACTGAATTGCATTATACCTGTATCTATTATTCTGTATTTTATAGATTGACTGAAATTAATTAAAATAATTTTTGCGAAATTTTCTTCTATATTCAATTCAATTTACCTTAATATCAGTCTTGGAATCAGATTTTTGAGTATTTCGCTGTACGGGACTTTTACCCTGTAAATTCAATGGCTGTCATTACATTTTTATAATACTAGGAATAATGATTATTATAGCACAACATATGGCCGCACCATCCTGGGCGAACACAGTGACAATTTGATTTATGCATACCAATCAACTGAAAAAAGATGTTCTCAATAGTTGACCACACTATGCCGATGTGCTAAGTATTTTTCATGCTATGTTTGAAAGATCCGAGATTATAGGACGAAGGAACGTACGGTTCACGTAAGAGTTTGTAAACATTATGTGTGCAGGGGTAGACTATCGTGTATATCGTGCACTCGCTGGACCATTCTCGTGGCACGATATTGGAAAAAGGAAAGTGTAATAAAGACAACGAAGTTCTCCTGAGCACTCCCCACGAATTTTTTAGCAAACTTACTATCTTTGTCATTTTCGACAATTCAGTGCGAGATGAGAAATTGTGATGTCGTACGCCCCCCTCTGAAGAAGACTACCGGATGAAGTCAAAATAATTAACGGAAACATATAATTCTTGTAATACATAGGCATGTTTAAAAGTGGACATAAGTTTTAAAAAATATTGAACTATTATATGAAAAACAAAATCAATCAATACATTAAATTGTTATTTCGAATAATGAGAGCCACACAATTACACTAATTGCCTTGTCTCCAAGCTTGAATACCCTCTGTTGTATTTTCTAAATTTGCCAGACCGAGAATCAATCTCAAGTCCTGATTTACGCAAAGTAACGTACCACCCACTACACCATGGAGTACCACTACACCGAATTTGGTTTTGGTTTATTATGTTAGGAATTACCTAATTAATAATAAACTTTCTTTATTTTCTTGACACCTTGGTTTTAGATTGAAAATTTAAATGCATGCGATAGATGTGCTTTTGCTCGGATCAATATTTAGTTACAAAACCGGACAATATCTAAAAATATCGTAGTAACCTTTAAGGAGTTTGGCGAAGGGGATGCCCTTGTAGGGGATTGTTTCTGGGAGAGTGGTTGGTTGAAGTTGCGGTTGGTTGCATTCCGGGCAGCGCGCGCAGCCGACGCGGCAGTCGGCCGGGGCGTCAAACGAGGGGCTGCATTATCTACAGATATCATTGCGATAATTGTACTCCGAATATATGTCAGGCATTATTAAAATAAACGTTTTTTATCTTACATAAGTACATTCATTATACCAAGATATGTATTTAAACTTAGATACATCTATATTATCAAGACGTCGTTTTTCTGTATCATATTATTCATATATACCAGCTGAGTGATTACTCACTAGGTGACCACACTCTTATTTATTATTAACTATTTCTTTTTTTACTTTTTACCGTAAATTAATAAATTATATATTTGCCTCCAAATTAGTTTTAACACTTAATGTATGTCTATAAAATACATTTTAATTGGAGAGAACTGGTGCCTAAGCTAGGTAGGAATGAACCAACCTGTGATACAAGTCACCAAGACAAGCCACAGTGGCTTACTCGAATTAGTAAAATAATATTGTTAATTACAAAGATACTTACAAGGTTTGTCCTTCTGCGCTTTTACCGTAGTCATTATGCTAATTGATCATCAAAGAGTTCTTATTGATAAATGTTACAGATGGTATAAAAGATGGTGAAAAAGAAAACGTTTGCAATTTTGATTTCGTATTTAATATTTGGTGCATTTGTAAGATAAGTCTAAATGAAATTCCAAATTCAAAGTTTTATATTATTTTTAATTTGTTTTATGACCATTCTAGTTGCCATTATTTTTATAGTAACTGATTAATTTTTTTAATGTCTATGCATGTAATTAATTAAGAAGTAAGCTATCAATTAGTTTTATAAATATATAATAGCAGATTAAATTATATCTGTATTTTTATCTGATTAAATTATGTCTGTATATATACAATTTAATAAAATCTCAGCGGTAACAGAATACTGGTTATTTATCTTCTTCAAATTATATCAACTGTCAAATAGGTATCCATGTGTAGAGTCTATCAAAGAATTCAATAGGTACTTAATTGAAATTTTGGTGAGTTTAATAAATTTGGACTTTGTGATGACTGAAAAGATTTAACCAATTACAATTTAACTTTACAGTTACATTTAATTAAATTACCAAATTTTTAAATTTTGAGTAATAAATAATGTCACTTACTGAACCTGGTGAACCAAGAATTCAAGGTACCCGAACCATATCTATAACATCTTAAAAGTTTGCTATAGAAGTAACACAACCAGTACTTTTTTCTTAATAATATAGTAAAGAGGTATGAATAATATACATATATATAAAGGCAGCCGTGTAGTCTCGACATAGAATGGGCCACTCCTTTCTTTCCCATAAGTGTCATAACAAGCGAATAAGGAAACTTGGTCAAAGGATAGGTAGTAGCATCCCTTTTAAATATCACCAAAGCTTAACTGCGATTGACAGTCTACCTGATAGCTACTAACAAAACCGCCAATAGAGGGAGGCCTGTGTTCAGCAGTGGACAGTTAACGACTGATATGATTATAAAGTATAGATAGATATATTCCTACTTTCTCCTTAATTTTTCCTAATTACTTACAGAGATTATTGATGCAGCACGAGCACCGACTAAATGTCGTATACCGCAAAGATTGCTCCCAAGAAGTGTCAAGGCCACTTTAAATAGGCCCAAATCGATCAATAACTCCGAATTGGTGGTATATATTTTTAGAATTATTTTGTACTGTTATGAAACTTAGGGACACTGTATAAAGTCGTATCCAAGGGTAATTCTTATTTTTGCTTCTATGTAGCTAAGCCTGCATTCTGTGTTCTGGTTTGAAGGGTAAGATTAGTGCAATTAAATTACTTCAGAGTATATCCTAACGCAAGATATACTTGTCGCATCACAAGTATGGGCTAAAGCAGTGTTTCCCAACCTTTTTTTGTGCCATGCCCCACTTGAACATTTCTAAAATTTTTATGCTCCGTACATACATACATACATAACATACATAATTTTTCCCGACAAAGTTTACTTGACGACTCTGATTGATTCAAATCAATGAAGAGAAATCGAAGTTAAAATGCGGTTATGCTTTGACGTGGATTGCTCTTTGTGTACGACTGACAATTTCATTAAACCAGGACTGAATACTTCTACGAAGTTAAATATTTATTCGCTACTTTCAGCAACATAGACCCAAGTCAGCAGGTCGAAATAAAGAGGAGCAAAATGGAAATAAAGAAATGCACTATATACGGTCAGCCCGCCCAAAAAGAGACAAATTGTTGCCTGCTCCTAAGGCAAGCCGAACCTCATGACTTGTACTGTTTTAAATTAAAAATTAATTTTCTAAACAATATATATTTTGTTACTCAGAGGCCTTCAATAATACCTAAAAGGACTAATGCTATATTGTTGCCGAATAAAGCCCTAAGACCATTAATAGTGGTGCCAGTGACACAGGTAAAGCATTTTATCATCTAGTAATTTACAAATCAAATTTTTCAAAACTACAATAGATATTTACAGGAATCTATACTCAGAATATTCTTGTACGCAGTCTCATTATGCATAATTGTGAATTGCTGCGTATCCTTACTAGTTCTTACTTTAAATGTGCTTGTTTATGTGTTTGTTACCTTATAAAGCCTATTTAAAAAAAATATTCAAGCATCCCGTCCTCGCTATTTAATAGTGGTGGCAGGATGCCTGCTCTATTGGACACATTGGGCACAGGATCTAAATTTGGTATAGTATATAAACCTTATACAGCCTTATCGGCTTAACCAATCACTATAAAACTTTCATACACATATTATATAGAACGGAGACGGATATAGGCTCAAATACCAATCAATAATAAAAAAAAAAAAAAAAAAAAACTACTAATTGTTATTTTTTCTTTCAGAAACAGCCGGGTAGATGTTCGTATATGAACAAAAATATCTCAGAACTCCCTGATCAGGTATTTATAATTTTTTTTATACGACTTAGAATGGCAAACAAGCTGACGGCCCACCTGATGGAAAGTGGTAATCGTCGCCTATAGACATGAGCAGTACCATGGACAAAACAGTATGCGTTGCCATTCCTGAGGACTCAGGTGTTATTCCTCTGTACCCTGTCAATTCACACCATATCCCACCCTTCAAACCGAATCACAATCATGCAAACACAACTGCTTCACGATAGAAACACGAATGGGACAGAGGCATCCTTTACCACCACCTATCATTTTTTCTTATCGGAATAAAAACTATCCTCTCAAATGGGTGCAAACAGTAGATACACAGTTAAAAAAGATTTGAAATCGGTTGTGCGATTCCGGAAGTTAGTGTGAACGAACATGTGTGAACGCAGGGTGGAGAACAGTCTGCAAAGGTAAATTAGAAGTAGATAATGTTTGATTTTTATTGCGTAGTAGTAACTCAAATAGCATGTTTAATGTGTATTAGAAATTTTATTATGCATATAAACATATTTGAATGAAATATAAACAATGTTGTTAAAATTAGGAAAGAATACAGAAAAGAGAGGAACTAGAACTACAACAAAGCGAAATGTTCAATACATCACATGCATTTGGAGATTTAACGGAGAGAGGTATGTATAATTTGTTATAATATTTGTACGAATATTTTTTTTACATTGTTCAATAAAAATTCCTTTAATTTAAAATATAGTCCATCAGTGTACCAAACATAATTTAAATTTGTTTAGTCGTTAAAACGTGATTAATTAACAAATACTGAAATTGTTTTATGTAAAAACCACCTATATATTTTATTACACTGATGGGTATGATTAATAATAATGATTCGTTATTAGTATTATCATAAGGGAACCACTTTACGAATTGTAACATTAAACATGCTAATTTAAAAAAAAAAATATATTATTCTGTAGAATCGATTACTTCACGAAGCGACAATGTAAAGCAGCTCAAAATAAGTTGGCAGGAAAAAAATGTTCAATTTGAGAAAATGAAGAATGATCTTAAAGATCGACAGGTATGAAATAATATTTTACAATAATACGAGGGCTACACTGAAAATTTTTAGAACTGGCTACTTGAAAGCAATATAATAAAAAAGAAATTGATAAAATTTTGAAAATGGAACTCTTTACGAATAATACTGAGTATATAATTTATTCGTGAAAAAAAGCGCGGGAAACGTTTAAAAAAGCGGGAGTGTTTTTTGATCTTCTTTAAATTAATTTTATATTTAATTATATAAGGATTAGTCTTTTTTATATATTGTGTATTAGATTGTATATTTAATTGTATATTTTGTAGTAATAGTGTTTGTTGCTGTAAATATTGGTAAGTAAATTACCTATATTAACATTATGGATCCACCTATAGACCCTGGGTGGACAACCCCCCAGGTGTCTGCAAATATAACTATTCCATTCAATAATAGTTTTGATATATTGGGTGAATCTAGTATGGACACAGATGGTTCTAGCGTTGCAAGTTCTAAACGTAAGCGAGTACGTGGTGAACGTCGCATTTGCAAACATTGCAATAAAAAACGAAGGAGGCACACCAAGGGTCTTGAATCTAAAATTAAAGATAGTGATTGTCAATGTATTGAAGATGAGAATCAAACTCAAGTATCAATACCAGTTGTAAACAATACCGAGTCTGTTAAACCTGCTTCTCCACCCAGTACTTTAAGCAGAACTTTGTACAATGCCGAGGATATAGCACCTTATGTCGTTCATGTACAAAAAAATGAAACACATCCTAATGATAACACTACATTACATCCTATTGCATTTGGTCGCTTTTTACACACTAATAAGATAAATAATATAGTGAATGGTAGCCTCAAAAGAATAGGAAGAAACCGTTTATCGCTTTCTTTCTCAAATTTTGAAAATGCAAATGCATTTTTAAATAATAGTAACTTAGAGACACATAATTTTAAGGCATTTATACCTTCTTTCCATGTAACCCGTATGGGAATTGTGAGGGGTATTCCTAAAGATTGGACAGAAGAGGAAGTAATCCAAAATATATCAGTACCGATAGGTTGTGGGAAAATTCTAAAAACCAGAAGAATAAAGAAAAAGACAATTAATGAAGGACAACCAAGTTTTATTAATACTGAAACCATTGTTATCACTTTTGATGGACAAATATTGCCAAAAAGAGTATTTATGTTTTACACATCATTAACTGTAGATTTGTACATTTACCCTACTATCCAATGCTATAACTGCTGTAGGTTCGGACATGTCAAGATGCAGTGTCGTTCAAATCCTCGGTGAGAGCAAAATCATACAGGTGATAAATGTGAAGTAGATGAGGAAAATGTTTCTTGTATCTTGTGTAATGGTTCTCATTCAGCAATTAGTAAAAAATGTCCTGAATATGCACGTCAGAAAGCCATTAAAGAAACAATGGCCCATAGTTGTGTTTCTTATGCTGAAGCATCAAAATTTCATCCTCCAACTTCTAAACTATATTCAGATGTATTAACATCATCATCTCCTTCCAATAAATCTCATTTTCAATCTTCTTTCCTTAAAGAGAAATCATCATTACCACATATACAATCATCATATAAAAAAACAGTTACACTTAAACCACGCTCTCCTCAAAAAATACAACAAGGATATGATCGTTCTGCCCATGAAGCCATAGTTAAGGAATATAATATTCCTGCTCCCTCTAATGGTTGTGCATTATCATCAAATAATATTGACAATAATCAATCCATCATTGATATTATTCTCATGCTTATTAAAGTGTTATCGCAATCAAAAATGATACAAACAACTTTACCACCGTCCAACGATGCCATGTACAATGTATTTTCTCAATTATTAACTTCTCACAATGGATTACAAAGTCCAAATAATTCAGTGGAACTGTCGTAGCATAACAAATAAGAAATCAGACTTATTTTATTTGATTAATAAATATAATCCTTTTATAATAGCTCTACAAGAGACTTGGTTAAAGCCAGGATATCCTTTTAGGATTTCAGGCTTTACAAGTCTCCGTGATGATAGAGCTGACGGATATGGCGGTGTTGCCATATTGGTCAAAAACTCCCTTCTTTTTTCTTCTTTTTCGCTTCCTGTATATAGCGGCATTAATGCAGCTGCTATAATTATAAATGGTATCTGTTTTGTTACTTTATATATTCCTGATCCTACATGCCAAATATATTCACAACTAGAACAATTATTTTCAATTTTACCTAAACCTTTTCTCGTAATGGGCGATTTTAATGCTCAGCACCAATCGTGGGGCAGTTCTACTTCTAATTTTTATGGTGGAAAACTCCTGACGATAATTGACACTTACAACTTATGTATTATTAACTCAGATGTACCGACACGTAGAACTGCACCGAATGAAGGGTTTAGTGCTCCTGATATTTCAATATGTTCTTCTGATTTAGCTTCTTCACTGTCGTGGTATCCTCATTCCTCTACCTTCGGAAGCGATCACTTTCCCCTCATTCTTTCTTTTCCAATTTCCATTCCCTCAAGTCGAAAGAGTGGTCCTCGACTTAAATATAATTTATCAAATGTAGACTGGAATATTTACAAACAATATTTAGATAATAAAATATCGGAGTTACCTATTGTTTATCATGGAAATGAACATCAATGTTGTAATGACTTGATAATTAATATGAAGGAGGTTGCTGATTTATTATTTCCTGTTAAAAATAGTGCTTCAGGGAAAATTCCCTCCCCACCTTGGTGGGACAATGATTGTACGGAAGCAATTAAAAATCGTAAAGAGGCTGAAAAAAATTATAATAATTACATGACATCAGAAAATTTTGAAATTTACACCGCAGTTTCACGTTCTACTCGAAAACTACTGAAAAAAAAGAAATTGGAAGGTTGGAGAAGATTTTGTTCTTCTATCTGTCCAGAAGTTAATTCATCAGTCGTTTGGAATAATATTAAAAGATTCAGATCTGCCTTTAGTGATCATACATCACGTTCTGCACTCGATTTAACTTTAGCAAATAAATTTTTAGATCGCCTTGCTCCTAGTTATGTGCCGGAATGCCTTTACAATATTTCTCTATCCGTCTCTGACGAATTATCCGAACTTGAGTCTCCTTTTACTCTTGTAGAACTTAAAGGTGTTCTAGCTTGTATTAAAGACTCTGCACCGGGAGAAGACGGTATACCGTATTCCTTTTTTAAAAATGCTAGCGATGCGACATTAATTTACTTTTTAAATATAATTAATTCCATAATTATTTCGGGAAATATACCTACTTCATGGAAGTCTCAGATTATTATACCATTTCTAAAGCCTCATAAACCACCTTCTGAACCATCTTCATACCGTCCTGTTGCACTTTCCTCTGTCTTACTAAAGCTAGCTGAACATTTAGTGAAGAACCGTCTAGAATGGTTTTTAGAAAGCAATAACTTACTATCCCCGAACCAGTTTGGTTTTAGGAAAGGTAAGAGCACCTTAGATAATGTGAGCATTCTTATTTCAGATATTCATATAGCTTTCTCACAAAATTTGTCAATCCTCTCAGCCTTTTTAGATATAAATTCTGCCTATGATAATGTAATAATTTCTATTTTAAAAACTAAATTACAAGCTTTAAATGTACCGGTAATGCTTTCTAATTTCATTATTAATATTTTATCAGAAAGAACAATACATATGGATCTAGATGAAGATACCAAATTATCTAGAACAGTATGGAAAGGCCTTCCACAAGGATCTGTTCTCAGTCCAATTTTATTCAACATATACACATACGATCTAGAATCATTCCTTGATAAATCCGTAAAAATTTTACAATATGCTGATGATCTTTTATTATATTTTATTGCGAAGTCCATAGAATCTGCTTCTGCCAAATTATCTGATTCATTAGTTTTGTTAAAAACGTGGTTAGATGCAAATGGTCTTAATCTTTCTGTAACCAAGAGTAGTGTAGTTTTGTTTTCAAGAATGAGATCACCGCAACAAATTAAGGTGCTTTATGATAACTCATACATTCCTATAAAGACTGAAATTAAATTTTTAGGTATCGTGCTAGATAATAAATTAACAGGTCTGTCCCACTGTAATTATATTTCCACGAAATGTGAGCGTAACCTCAACATTCTTAGGTGCCTTGCTGGAGTTTGGTGGGGAGCACATCCCGTTTCACTAAAACTTGCTTATAATGGTCTTATAAGGAGTGTCATTGATTATGGAACTTTTTTGTTAGCTCCAGGAAGTTCATTTGCTTTTAAGAAATTGGATTTAATTCAATCAAAGGCCTTGAGGATTATCTCTGGAGCAATGAAATCAAGTCCAATCAATGCTTTACAACTCGAAGTCGGTGATCCACCTTTGGTTTTAAGAAGGCAATATCTATCTGATCGCTTCTTTTTTCGTTGTTTACAATTATCTGATCATCCGCTTATTCAAAAGTTATCTCAACTACATATCTTTATTTCGTCTTCATCTTATTGGAAACATAAAAAACCTCCATGTTTAATACAAAGTTATGAAAAATATAAATCCATAGAATCTCCCACTTTTACATCGTCCTGTTTTCCCATTTATAAATGCTCATATCAATCTTTAGTTTTATCTCCTAATATTAAATATGATTTTGGGTTATCAAAAAATGATTCAGAATTGAATGCCAAATTTATGTTTATAACTGACATTGAATGGAATGAATGGCACTACATCTTTACTGATGCATCAAAACCAGACAATAGCGGTTGTGTAGGTGTGGGTGTGTTTCATTCACAATTTAATATCGTTCAAAAAATTAAACTTCCACCGGAATCTTCAGTTTTTACCGGGGAATGCTATGGTATTTTAAAAGCTGTAGAATATATACTTTTAATGAAATTACATAAGGCAATAGTTTTCACTGACTCTATGAGCTCTTTGCAAGCTCTAGCCAAATATCCGTTTAAATCAAAACCAGTTTATCCCATTATTTGTGACATAAGACAAAGTCTTTATCTTTGCATGTTGAGAGGGTATTCCGTTTCTTTTGCCTGGTTACCAGGACACAGTGGTATTAGCGGCAATGACAAAGCTGACCTGATTGCAAGAGAGGCTGTAACTTGTGGTGATATGTATCCGTATCATAATTACTGTAGTGACCTAGCTTGTCTCCCAAAAATATATTTAAGGTATGCCTGGAAGGAATATTGGGAAAAAACAAGTACAATAAAAGGAAGATTTTATCGCCTTATACAACCCGATATTCCTTTCAAACCATGGTTTTGTAAATTAAAGCTTGGAAAGACCGCAACAACTATTATAACTCGTATGCGTCTAGGTCACGTATGCACACCTTCTCATTTATACAAGCTTGGTATTTATTGTACAAAGTTCGTCGTGTAATTGCGGTGCTGAAGTGGCGGACTTGAATCATATATTCTTCTCATGTTCTAAATTTGACCACACCTCCCTTTTTAATCATCTCCGATCCATCCGTGTTCCATTCCCAACTTCTATTCTTACTCTACTTTTTTCCAATGATCCTATTATCTATAAAATACTATCTTCATATATATATGATAACAATATTAAGATTTAGTTATATTACATGAATACATTTATAGTTGCATCAATTGCTTTTCCTATATATTTATAAGTATATTCTCATATGTACAAGTATATCCTTCATATCCTATAAATATCCTAGACCTAATCCTTATCCTTTCTAAATTCGTTTGTGTTAGGTATTTTTATTACTATTATCGTTTCCCCGTTTTGTTCTTGGCAAAATACCCTAATATCGGGGTGAACGCCACAAAAGAAGAAAAAAAAAAAAAATTTATTCGTTTGTCATTTGTTTTACGATTTGGCGGCAAATTGAAAATAATAATAATAATGAAAAACTATCAAAATATACAGACTTAGCAATAGAGATAAAGAAGCAATGGAAAACGCACACCATCCACATAATACCCATAGTACTATCGTCTACAGGAATCGTACCCAAAAATCTTCACAAGCATTTAGATGTGTTACAAATTCCTACCTATACAATAGATTTGCTACAGAAAGCGGTCATCCTCAATACCTGCCGCATAGTCAGAAAATTTCTTTCCTCATCATTGTCATCATCCTCATATATAATTTAAAGTCAACCATTGCTTGGCTAAGGCCCGCATGGTTGAACATTTACCCCCATAAAAAGGGAGATGTTAAATACAATATATATTTAAACAATAATAATAATAATAATTTTTATTTCAGACTTTTTGGTCCATTAAATATTTATTAGTAACAATATTCTTAAAAACTAATGTTAGTAAATTTACATACACAATACACACACATACACACATACAATATATTAAGCAGTATACAGATAATACAAAATAATCTGTGGAACGTTATCATGAACTTAACACGAGAAAATTTTCGTGCGATAATTTTTTATGACTTTCGATGTCATCTAAGTCAACAAGAAAGTTATGATAGACTACGATTGACCTTTCACGATGAAGGCCCGTCTCGTGCCACTGTTTACAACTGGTTTAATGAGTTTAAACGTGGTCGCACTAATCTCACCGATGATGTGCGTGAGGGACGGCCTACGGCGACGACTGAAGATAACATCAGTGTTGTGCGGCGTATAATAGAGACTGACAAAAGAGTGACCTATCAGCAGATCCGGGCAAGCTTAGGGATTGGTACAAGTCAAGTGCAAAAAATCCTCCATGAACATTTGGCGGTCAGGAAGCTTTATGCCCGGTGGATACCTCATAATTTGACCGAGGCTCAAAAACTCCGTCGTGTTGATTGGTGTTGTGAAATGCATGAAAGATTTAACGGAGGTAACTCAAATTCTGTGTTTGACATAGTTACAGGAGACGAAAGCTAAATTTACTGTTATGATCCCGGAACTAAAAAACAGTCAGCTCAGTGGGTGTTTCCTTCCGAGGAGTTGCCAACTAAAGTGAAGAGAGGTCGAAGCGTGGGAAAAAAGATGGTGGTCTCGTTCTTTGGAAGGACAGGTCGCGACAATTGTTTTAGAGGATCGAAAAACTTTACTGCAGAGTGGTACAGTAACAATTGTTTACCACGTGTTTTAGAAAAAGTGCATGAGAAACGACCTCGCACTAGGATCCTCTTTCTCCATGACAATGCTTCGTCGCACATCGTTAGGCAAACGATCGATTATTTGGCGACCTCAGACGTAAAACTAGTGTGTCATTCGCCTTATAATCCCGATCTCGCACCTGGCGATTTTTATTTATACCAAAAAATAAAAGAAAAACTTCGAGGAAAATGTTTTATGGACTCCGAGGAAGCTGTGGCTTCGTTTCAGAAGGTCGTCGAAGAGCTCCCTAAGGAAGAGTGGTCAAAGTCCTTTTCTCAGTGGTTTTATCGGATGCAACGATGTATTAACGTGAATGGACACTATTTTGAAAAGATAAAATAAAAGTAAAATCTTGCTAATTTAATCAGTTTTTGATCTTCTAAGGACTTTCAGTTTAACCCTCGTAGGAACAGTAGGTATTTATTGAAATGATATTTAATAGTGGCAAAACTGCATCAAGTATACATAACATAAGCCACTGTGACAGCTACATCTATATTCCAAAAGTCAACTAGACCTTATTTTATTATTAATTAAGTAAATTATCCATAGTTTCCATTCGAAATTTTATCATATGTCACAAATGTGGACCTAAATCTACTTGCCGGTCATTATCTGTCTGATTATGATAATTATTTTCATATGACTCTCCTGGGAAGCTATAATCGTATTTATTTCTGTTATAAAAAAAATAATACGTATATTGTAAGCCTTTTAGTTTGAAACGTAGACTTGTTCATTATAAAATCTAATATTAAAATTTGTAGTAGTAATTTTTTTATACTCCATAAAAATTATATTAAAATAAAATATTTTTTTCGACCATAAGTATAAGCTATTTTGTTATTATCTTTACAGAGGTTAATAATGGAACTTTACGCTACGATGCGGTCAACCCAACAGAAAATGTCTGCATTGGGTCAAAAAGCTATCTTACCGTCCGCCGACGACTTAAAGATCATGAATGTTGCCAAATTGACGCCAGAACAACTCCTACAATTATGTGCCACCACAAAGCAACACGGGGACAAGTCTCAGCATGATGGTAAAAAAGTTTTATGTATATCATCATCATAACTATTAATATCCCACCGTTGGGTATGGGCTCTTTCTATGAATTAAACAGTTCTGTAACAATATCTTATACTTTCTAAACGACTTAATATAAGGTCTTATTTCATATTTCTTTTCTTATTTTTATATATTATTATGTATTTCTTATCTTCTGTTTTAATATATTTAATAAAAAAACTTAATAACATAAAATTATTTTCTTTCAGATTCTCGTATATTTCCTAAAAGTTGTTTAACTATTGATATGAATAAATTACTTAATATGCCATCAAAATTAATAACAACATGTGAACAAACTTTAGCTAAAAGAAAAGAAATAATTGATTGGTTTGAATCATTGAAAACTCTAGAGAAGGCAAGTGTTATTTGATTATTTATAGATACGTATTTTTAGTTTTGACAAAATATGCAAACTATACATATGTCGCCCATATAGTTATACTATATGGGCGACACAGTATACTCTGTTTTGTCCATGGTACTGTTTATGTCTATAGGCGACGGTTACTACTTTCCATCAAGTGGATCGTCAGCTTGTTTGCCATTCTAACTAGCATAATAACATAAATTAATAAGTTAACGACTCCAAGCAAAGCCCAGCTCTTGTACTGCTGTTAATTGTTCCAATATTATAATAATATATAGTATTTTTCAGGGCATAAGTATGCATAAACTATCGAAAAAAATAAACGAGTTTTATGCTGAAAATGAAATGCTTGCTTGTTCTCTTGATACAGTCAAAGCAGATATTTACACGGAATTGAATGAAATCATCGATTTTTTAAGGTACATATTCTTATTATTACAATATACTTGATTGATTTGGTCAGTTGAGTCGCAACAAAATACCTAAATGTATGAAGTAGTTTAATTTCAATGCCATATTGTTGTTATTATCAGAAAAGGTATCAACGAAACAATAGCACTTCAACTGCGTACAGAAGAATTAACATATGAATTGTCTGAACTGAATTCCCAGAACGTTGATCTCCGGAAACAAATTTACAACGCAGACCATCTGAAGTCACAAACCAATAGGGGCAAGATAGAGGTATCACTATTAGTATTTTACAAAAAAAAAGTAAATTTTATCGATTCTTTTATAATAGAACGAACTACGAGTAGTTAAGAGTAATGTAATAAACTGCCGTGTGGTCCCGGCATAAAATGGGCTACCCCTTCCTTTCCCATAAGTGTCATAAAAGGCAACTAAGGGAACTTAATTGTTGAAGGATAGGGGCAGCGTCCCTCTTATAACATCACCAAAAGCCTAACTGCGGTTGCCAATCTACCTGCCAAACGTGGCAACTACTGGCAAATCTCCCCCTTATGGGGATGGCTTATGTTCAACAGTGGACAGTTAAGGGTTGATGTTGACGAATGTAATAAAAAAATGAAATTCGGTTACGTTTAATTTCTTTACACAGTACATCTTACAGTTCATTACATATTCTTAGAATCGAACAATAATTTCTGTCTGTACCATCATAATTTATATCATATTTCCTGATTTTTTTATCTTCTTTGCAATGAACTGATAAAAAGGTCCTGGAACGAGTTACGGGCGCTGACCCTAAAACGCAATTGTATTCTTTAATTCCAATTCATTTGCATACCTTTTGTCTTATTCTTAACCAGCATCTATTAATTATAAAACATATAAAATCATAAAATCAAGAGTTTTTACCTATATATTGAGGTTTTTTCTGATGAAAATTGACTAAGCAACCTAGAATGAAGGATTTGTTATTTAAATCAACGAGAAAATGGCTCATGTACTTACTATTACAACATAATTTTAAACTCAAGTGGAACAAACTGGAGTAGATACCATGTTTTATCAGCATCAGTTACTCGAATTATGAGACACTTACCTAATTGGGCAGCAATGTTTATGATATTACTAATAGCTTTACTATTAGTTCATGTCTTTATTCGCATTACAAGGATTGATCAGGCTAAAAACATTTGTACATTAAATTTGTGCTAAAAAAAAACAAATAAAAAACTTACTTTTATATTACGATGCGTATTAAATATAAACACTACTATTAAATAAATACATAGTCTTTTGCAACCTAATGAAGACTTTTACATTATAACTTTAGCAACTTGAAAAAGACCTCAAAGAAGAAAAATGCAAGAAAATTATGATTAGAGATCGATTAACGCGCGCAGAAAGGCAAATTAAGATAGGAACCGAACGTGCGTCACAATTAGAGGCTGCATTGGAACAGGCTCGCACCCAAACATGGACACTAGAACGCTCTGTCCAACAGTTACAAGATCAAGTAATTTTCTAATCATTATGTATCTACTAGTTATTGCTAGAAATTTTATATTTGATGTTGCTATGATAACTACCTATTACACACACATCTAGCTAGTTGTGAGTTCAGTTATATATATTTTATCTTTTAGTCATTAAAAAGAAATGTAATTTTGAATACCATTATTGCAAATTATTGATACAAATAAGTACAATAATGTAAGATCGGTTTCATAAGGATGTAGTAACTAAACACAATATTACTTACATGACTACTTGCTCTAACCTAGTATATTTTAAAATCACAGAATCAAAAATTACAAATAGATTTCGACAAGGAACTCAATAAATTAACACAATCAATTAGAGAGAATACAGCCCATTTAGAGGAAATAGCTGATGCACGAGAAAAATTGCAAACAGAGTAAGTATTAGATCTTAATAGTTATTTTTATTCTATGTGATTCATCTAACAAATTAAAGTATAATTTTAAACCTTTAAATGACAAATAGGAAAGAGGATTTGGAGAAACGGCTCAAAGAAGAGTCTGAACATTACAATGAATCACTGAAAAGTATGAAACATGAAATAAATATGAATGGAGTTAAAGTTATCGAAACTGATAAGAAATATAAAGAAGAAATAGAAGAAAGAAAAAAATTACAAGAGAAACTTGAAACCTTACATGCACAGCTACTCGAGTCTGAATTACGAAATAATGAGTTAAATAATGAACTAAAAGATAAAGAAATTAAATTGGGTTAGTTTTGTTTAACACAGTAACAAATATTTTGTATTGTAGGAACTTTTGTATTGTTTATTGATTCATTTTTATAACTTTTGTTGTTAAAAAAAAAACATTATAATATAATGCGTGTTTCGTAAACACGCTTTATATTTTATTGTAAATACTACCGGTTTAACTTATGTGTTGTTTTTTTGTATTGTTTTATGTATTGTTTTTTTTTTTATTTTTGTCTATTTACTCATTCTTTTTATATAATTTGCTTTTTTAAGACATATACATGAATTATCAAACAGAATTGGAGAAGACTAAATGTGAACTAAGTGATGTTAATATTCAAGTAGAAAAGTATAAAAATCAGCTAACACAACAAAATGAAGCAATTAAAGAAGTAGAGGTAACATGATTTGGCAAAATTACTTTACATCTTATGCAAATAAAAGTCTTAAATTTAACTAAGTTTTTTTTATAATAGCATAATTTTGAAGAAAACTTGAAGCGTCATTTAAGTATTAAAGATGATTATATATCTGAACTGGACAAAAAACAATCTCTGTTAGAACAACAATTACAAGAAAGGTTGAGTGCATACAAAATTATATTTTTTTTATATTATTATTTTGGAATTACATTTTAATATGAATTAAAATTTTGTAGCGAGATGAAAATGTATTCATATGAAGAGCAACTTATGTTGCTAAAAGGACACATAGCACAGCTCAAAGCAGACTTCGGCGAATTCGAAAATCTTACTGAACTCAATGAAATGGTAAAATATTTGGATAACCTTTTTAAGTTTTTTCAGTAAAACTTTATCGTACTGAAATATTTTTTATACTTTAAAGAGTTACAAACTGATTCACCAGATAGAAAGGTTTCACTGCTGGAGAAAAATCATAGATATAGTGTCTTATACTAAAACAAACTAAAACATTATTCCACATATATACAACATCTGAAGGTGTTTTTTTTTTTTTTTCAATTGAATGGTTAATCCACCTACGCTAACGGTATACATTGGTGGGGCACCAGTGAGGGGTGATAGGTGAGAACAAAAAGGCCAGTTAGCTCATCGTGATGAATACACCAGGAATTTAGCACGATGGTTTCCAGGACGGACCACGTGGAGGTCGACTTTATAGGACATATTGCTAGCAATGGAACTGATAGTCCACATTACTAACAATCCCTTCCCCTCCCTCTGAAAAGTGTTATATCTTGTTATATTTTGACACTTGTGTCAAAAATTACACTGACTACCACAGTTTACAAACCGAAACAAGAATACATTGCCGCTATGCAGTAGCAGACAAGATGATAGTATCTACCTAGATGTTTTTCTAATAAGTTGTGTTATTTTATCGATAGCAGTTATTAACAAACTATCAAAACATTGGTGTTAAAGTGATGTGTCAGCTCTACATCATTATAATTTTAACACATAAGACTATACCCTCTACTCTATCACAATTTAATGTCATATTATGTACTTACAAAAGATAAATCAACAACGAAATAAGCTACTAGAAGTTACTCGTCAAAACGGAGAATTGGTGGAAGCGTTGCAGAACAAAGATACAGAATTAGAACGTCAGTTAGAAAATCTTACAGAACATGAGCAGCTTCTATACGATAGAGACAATGTTATAAAAATGTTATCCAAGAAAGATGATGAACAGACAAATATTATTAAATTGCTACGTAATAATTTGGAAATGAGAGTTCAAGCAGATACCGATGTAAGTTATTTTTAGATTAATACGTATATATACATAGAAAAATAAGTTAAATGGGAGTTGAACTCGCATGCTGAGGTACTTAAAATAATCCGTAAATAGGCGTCAGTTTTTTTTTAGATAAATAAAAATAAGATAGTTTGTTTTTGGAGTATTTTTCTTCTATTTTTCCTGCTTATACTTTTATAAATTAAAATTGCTTGAAAGTAAAAATATAAAAAAGCTTTTGTAGAATATGCAAGTTTTAAATAAAACCTCGCTAGTCGGCCCATTCTGTTTTATGTATGGGTTAACAATATTTAAAATAATTACAAATTATAAATCGACAATATTACGGAGGCAAAGTCGCACCATAAGAAATACTTAAAAATGAGAAAATACTAAGATAGTAGTATTTCTAGTATATATAAGATATAAGAAAGGTAATATAATATTTGTCGTTTATATACTTTAGAATCAGAATACGTTACCCTTTTGTTTTTTTTTACCCCTGAAAACTAAATTCCGAGTGCAATCCACATAACTTTTTATAAATAAAACTAAATTAAAATTTTTTTACTTATTAATTTCTAGCTCAACCAGCAAATTCTTGAAAAAAAGTCTCAAATAGAATCGCTTGTTAATAATTTAGAAGAAAATAAACATGAAATATCTCAATTAGAAACTATAATTTTAACTTTGAAAGATCAAAGACTAAATGATCAAGACAAAATAACGACACTTGAAAACAAAATTCGACAATATGAATCAATGCATCTGGAAACTAAACACGGCACAGAAATTCCGACTAATAATCTGGACGACTTAATTAAAATTCTTGAAAACGAATTAGGAATGCCTTTAGAATCTGAATTTAATGATGAAAAGCAAGAGTATCCAACAAATAGGAAATTTGGTGAAGATCATAAGCACGATAAACTTATCAATTTTGACTATTTGTATCATTCAAAATCAGAATCTGTACCAACAAAAATTGTAATGAGTAATTTTATTAAAAAAACTTATATACCAGCAAAAGATGAAGTATTCAAGAGCGATAATCTTGATCGCAAGAAAGCTATTGCAAATATAGATATGCAAAAGTGGGTTTCAGCACCTGATCCCAAAATCAACACGTTCGACACGATTCCTATTAATAAATCAAATTTCCCACGTTTAAGAGAGGTAACGCCAAGACATTATACCGATATTAATAATTCATCAAATTTGCGCTGTTTAGATTTTAATCATCTTCGAGAGGGCAAAAAATGTAAAATGTTTAAGTTGGCTGGTCATAGACTGTAAGTGTTCATGTCGCTTGTGCTATTTATTTGTATTTGTAAAAATTTACTTAATATTCTTGTTGGAAATTAAAGATATATATAACTTTAACTGTTTTTATTGACAATCATTTGTAATAATACTTTTTGTTGCTGTCACTTTCGTCTATTTATTCCAAAGAATGTCCTGAATCTGAAAAGATAAATAAAGAGATTAAGAAACTACTGTGATCCAATCAAAGTTTATTCTTAAAAAATTACTATATATAAGGATGACCGCTTTTTGGCACCCAGTTTTTCACGCCATGTGACTGAAAATTCCCATATAACAATTATCAAAAATATTGTGACGTCAATCAAAGTTTTGTTCATAGAAAGTTACTATAAATAAGGATGACCGTACAATGGCGTCCAGTTTTTCACTCCAAATGACTTAAAATTTCCCGTATAACATAAAATAATCATCAAAAATATTGTAACGTCATTACATACTACTACTAAATAGTAATTATTCGACACTTCCATTAATATATTTTATTTTGCTCAAAATCTTAGCAGTTTTATATGGGAATTACAGTGGCATATAATACCTATACGTGGTTGATGATTGTTGTTTGTGGTCATCCTATAAGATATATATAAATACCAAACTTGGATTCTTGCTCATAACCCAGTGCTCCATAGATGCTGAATGGCGCGCTCGTAGCATTTCTCGCTCAAGTATAGCTCGGCGCCATTCAAGTTGTGTACGCACACGTCCCTCACGCTCCAACTGTAAACTCTGCTCCAGCACCGCGCTCTCAAGTCTTAGTACTCGTGCTCTTTCAGCCCTTAACGCTGTCCATGTATCCGCCGAGGTGGCACACACAGACGACAATGAACGCGACACCTAAACCGATAAAAATACAATCAAAATAATACCAGATATTAATAAAATCTAAGATGATTTTAGAAGACTATAATTCTAAAATTTCTAAAAATGTCAGTAATTTGTAAAATAATTATTTATTTGGCTTTTCCAGAATATCGCACTGTATTTCTTAATATTATATTAGTTAGCGGAGGTAATTGAAAAAAAAAAATTAAATAGATTGTAATATATTATGCTGTTCACATTTGGTCATTTTTTATTTGACTTAATTTTGTATCAGTTTGAATTACAAAAACCGTGATTAACGCAAATGAATTCCTCACTACATTTTAATACATTTTAGATCAAAAATTGCAACACATTACGAATATTATAGGCGTTTCATATGCGTCGCGCGTAGATTCTGTGACATCTATAGAATGTGATTAGCATTTTTCTTCAGCTAGGCCATCCGCTTATCTGGCATGACTTGGAGTCATATTAAAAAATATATATTTTTTACTTTATATGAAATAATAATCGGTACCATAATATTTTTATTACACATTATTTACCTCTGCATGAGCAAACTGATCCAATGATGACGGTTCGTTATTCCCACCAAGAGCGGCTACGAGATCTCTACGTGCCCGTACCATTCGGGCGAATAGGTCAGCGGCTCGCTCGTGTCGTTCAAGCATTAGAGCTCTTGATGCGGCTGCCGTTACCAAAGCTGTTTTTTCACGTGAAAGTGTTTCCACTTGTATATGCAATGCCAATAACTGAAAGAAATTATGTCATCATCATCATTTTAGCCATTATCACTACTAGATATAGACCTCTCCCCTGTAAACTACGAAGCCATTCTAATCTTTCTACATTTAACGAATACATTTGAAATCTTTGCTCTATTTAATGGAGAACTACCACAACCTCGTTTTTCTCTTTTTCTTTCCGACATAAAAATAACTATATTGTAACTATATTTGTTTTTTCTTTCGTGTATATGTTGTTTTGTTCTATACAATATAGGACTTAGGGCGGATTCAACCAAACGAGAATAAATTTTATTCTTAAAGTGCTAGTTATTCAAGAATAAATTAATTGTATGTTTTACCATTTACAATTCTAAGAGTAACGATCTTATTTCTTCTTATTTGCGTGGTATAACAGAGATATTACAAGAATAGTAAAATAAAATGGCGTCCCAGGACCATATGATCTAAGATTCGTAAGCTGTCAAATGCGTGTGGTGATTTCTATACGTAGGTACAATTAAATACTGGTAATCTCGGTTTGGTTTTGATTTTCGTATAAAATAAATAAAATATTATATATAAAATATTATAGTGGGCCTCCACTAAACTTAACAATAACTCTCTCTCCGATTGTAGCTAATTTGAACTACGTTTTCGTTTATCTTCAGCCATTTTCTTGCAAAATATTTAGAAAAAGCATATTCTACAGAACAATGACTAACAAAATGCAACAAATGTATATATACCACGTTGTTGTCAGTTGACATTGACAAAATGACAGCAATTTTTTTTCATTCACTACAATACAACAAAAGTAAGTTGATATAAGTTTTTATGTCGTCTCCTTGTAAAACAAAGTTAATTTGTCGGGTATCATTTTCGATCACGAAAAGAGTTTAAGATCATGGAATAGACTATCGGCGGTATAATTATTCGTGTATAAATTAGTTTGGTCGAATCCACCTGTAGTGATGTAAATATACCTGCGTTTGCAGTTCTTGAAAAGGAATTTCTTTAGCATAACAGTCGTAATTTCGTAATCTCTTCACTTCCAGTCTTAATGATGCTAATTGATTCTCATATTGAGTCATACTTTGCTCCCTGTTGATAAAAAATATTTTAGTGAATATACTTATTTAACTTCGTAACTTTTCAATTCGGAGTCAACTCTGAACTTAATCTTTGAAAAGTAATTATACCTGTTCACTATGATAATATAAAATAATATATAGTATAAATAGTAAAATACAATGTACAAATTTTAACACAAAGAGCGTTGCAGAACGAGAACTCGGTATATATTCCTGCTCGGAACGAGCAGGAATATATATAGAGTGCTAAAATGGGACAGAGTATTATGTTATGTAAGCAAGTCGTCTATTTATTAGGCATTTTGAAAAAGAATATACATACTAGCAACCCGCTTCGGTTTTGCAGGATTTTTTAAAATACAATACAATAAATAAAATACATGCATGTTCAGCGAGTGCTGATAATGTAAACTTTCTGGTGGAGGGATTTTTTAAATTGTTTACGCATTTTTTAGTTTATTTATTGTAAACAAAAAATCAAATATTGTCACTATATAATATTAATTTAAATAAAAGAAAGTTTTATATTATAAAAAAACTACATACATTTGTTTTTCATTTTCTTTTTGTTCTTCAATAACTTGCTTTAGTTTTATTATTTTTTGCTCTCTATCTAATAACTCTGTTGCCATTTTATCTTGTATATTATCTGCTCCTTCGCGTTGCTATAAATAAAATATTGAGGTAGTAATTAAACAGATATCAAGAACCATAATTATTGCAATCTATCTATATGGTATATAGTATAAAGATTAATATGTAAGAATCTACTCAGAAATATCGGACTATTTTTGCTATTTTTTTTTTCAAATATTCATTGAAGTCTGAGAAAGGTGAAGAAGATGAAAAACTTAAAAATCTAATTTTTCTTTATCTCACAAACTGTTTCTAGCTACTAATTCAAACATTTCAATCGATATTGATGTCAAACACATCAATCAAAAACAAACTTAAGAGAATAACGTTTATCTACAACTAATTACTTTTTAAACTACTTACTGCAATCTGAGATAATGAATTTAGAAATGTATCTTTATCTGCTCGGCTTTGCCGTAATTCTTCCTCGGCACGAGATAGCGCTACCCTAGTAGCTTGTAACTCTTTCCAGATTTCAGTTTCTCTGTCTGATGGTTCATTTTCTACAAATATATATATACATATACATATATATATACATATATATATATATATATATATATATATAACATAATTTATATATTGTAATGTATACAAGCGTAGATAGTGATATTTAGTGTACTTACGGATATATTTCAGTAATAAGTATTATCTTACTTCTTATCTTACTAATATAATAAAATTATAAATAGACGATATCTGTACATGGGAGATATTTAAGGAAAATTAATATGAATAAAAGCTAAAACAATAATATTAAAAAAAAATTATCTGTTTGTTTCGGCGTTATGCAAAACTACTGCACAAAATTGAACAGTTTACAATTTTCTGTTCCTGTAAGTCTAACTAAAAACCCAGTGTACGTTTCATCTTAATTCGACATCTAAAAATTGTATAATTTTTTGGTTATCCTATTTTTGAAATTCATGCGCATCCTGTATGCGCATGAATTGTTGCATGAAATGATTTTTCTAATAAAAATTATAATATATAATTATTTAAACATTATAATTAGCAACCTTTTGAAGGCAAGTATTCAAGACAACGCCTGCGTTCCATGTCAACTAGTTTAACTGAACGTTCACGTAATGATTGTATTTGTTCCTCTAATTCCTTGACTCGTTCGCTCAATTCTACGACTCGAGCTTCTGCTGCAGCTCTGTTTTTTTCCTACAACCAATTTCAGCGTTCTAAATTTACAACAAATATTTGTTTGAAAGGCTGGATATAATAATATCTTAAATTAATTTAAATAATATTTGAGACAATAGCATGGCACCTGTTCTGCTACCTTCGCCTGAAGTGAGTCACCACGGGCACGTTGCTCAGCTTCTCGTATTTCGGCTGCACGTTCAGCCATCTCTGCTTGTTCACGTAACTCTTTCACTCTGGTGACATCAAAAAAATAAAATCGATTTCATCATCATGGTCATCAATTCAGTAAACATTGACTACGCTATAACAGACAACCGCAGCAGCATAGTAATAATGTTGTGTTATCTATATCACACTCGAAGTCGTTACTTCATCTCAAATCTAATTAAAATTTTTACAAATTAGAACAACACCACAAAAGCAACCACGTATCTATATGGTTATTTGTCATCAAAATGCAATTATTTGAAAGGTGAAAAAAAATAAAATCAAAAATTTTCATTTCCATGGATTCTATGAGAAAATTTTAACATGGTATAAGTGGGGGAAAGGGATTGTTAGTAATGGAGACTGAGAATCCCATTGCTAGCAATATACCCAACCAGGTCGACCTCCTCGCGGTTCTCCCTGGAAACTATCATGGTTAATTACTGATGAATTTATCATGATGGGCTAACTGACCTATTTTCATTGTCATCTGTCACCCTTCACTGGTGCTCCGCCAGCGTATCCCGTTAGCGCAGGCAGGGTTACCATACCATTTTCACCCATAAAAAAAAAACATGGTATAAGTTGACAACCCCTGAATAAGTCTCAAAAAAGTTTTTTTTCTATCGAGAAATTAAGATTAATTGTCGAATACCTTGTGACTTGTAATAGATTAAAAATAATTCATTAAGATTTTTCTACCTAAGTTCAAGAGCATCACGTTGGCGAGATAGTGCTTCAATTGTCATTTCCCCAGTTTTTGACACTTCAATTAATTTCTTTGATCTTGCGTCATAACTCGTCTCTCGATGACGATACTGCAAAAGAAAGTTGGCTTTAGTGAATGTCAACATTCAAAAACAAGACATGACATTGACGATGCAAACTCAATGATTGTCAACTCAAACATCTGAATGTTATTATATTCTTTCGTTCTTTACTAATATTTCTATAAAATTTATAGTATTTACATAACATAGTACATAACATAGTACAGGACTTATGTTATCTATTATAGGAGAAAATAATCAACATTCTATCGAACTGATTAACCTAACGCCAAAGGGGTTATTGTAGTTTATTTTTATAGGGGATATCATCCGAGTTATCGGATTGTAATGTAGAGTATCACAACTTCACTGTCTTCTGGGAATGTTCGAGTGCAAGTCTGTTTACGAGTTGCTCGAGGTCTTTGTGCTTGCGACACGCCGTCTCGAGCTCTGCGCTGGTTTCTTTTAATTGCCGCTCCAGAGTGGCGATCCTCGCTCGCGCTACTCGGAGCATACTTTCAGCAGCTGACACCACTTCTTTTAATGCTTCGCGGGCTGCACGCTCCTTAGACAACTCTTCAGACAAGGTCTAAAATATATATTTTACATATTTTTTAACTCATACGAGTACATATTATGAGTAATATGCACTCGTATGAGTTAATGTCTCAACATGCATTGAAAATCATAATATATATATATATATATATATATATATATATATATATATATATATATATATATATATATATATATATATATATATATATATATATATATATATATATATATATATATATATATATTTACACTTTTGTGTTAGGGTAAAATTGTAATCCATCACAATAAGTGATTACAAAAATATAGCTGCACTCATCTAGTTTATAAAAAATGCCTTAATCTAATTTATAAAAATCCCTTGTTAAATCATTACTAATCGTTCTCCTTTTACCTGATACGTAAGTGTAGCATTTAAAACTTCGGTTTCTTTACACTCCTCGTTCTCTTTTTTCGTAATTTCTTCTATTTTATTTTGTAGAATAAGATTTTCTTTTTGTAAACGATCTATCTTTTTCACCATAGTATCACGATCTATCCATGGAATCCTAAAGAACAATGTTTTTTGTCTCATAAAAAAATATTTTTAAAATTTAATTTGTTATTTTGTTAATAAATACAATCCTAAAATATATATTACTTAGCCAGCTCCAACGAGTAATTGATTTTAGCTTTTAGATTTTCTGCAAGCCCTGCTACCATACTGTGCAATTTTTCCGTATCGTGGTCAAATTCTGTATTCTTTGTTTTCCATTCCAAATTCTGCAAATTAACCGTTTTATGTTAATTTCATTTATATACAGGTTACTCGTAACATATTTCTCATAACATAGACACTAACAGTAAGGTAGGTAGAGCGATCATTGCGAAGCTTGCAACGTAAGAGGTTTAAAAGGTCAATACGACGCGCCATAATTTCAGCACCTACTCCAAGTACTTCGTCAGGAATACTATTTAACTGTGCATGTAATTGCTGCATTATTTGAGGTCCTGAATAAACAAATGTAATTATTAACTTAAACTTATTTAATGAGTAACTTTAGTAACTTTAATGATAGACTTGAATTATAAACAAGATAAAAGACAATAAGATAACAAAATTTTATTCATGTTAGTTTTTTTTTTTTATACTATGGCAATTAAACGAACAGTCTGCCAGCTAAAGAATAAAAACAGTCACTATATATAGTGTATATGGATATAGCGAGTTATCCATAGCCCTAATGTTTCATTGCTTATAGGGCCAAAAGAATTGTACTTTTTGATTCTATGTACTTCTGTAAAAATTATACTACATTTCTTATTTATCTGATAAAAAAAAATCAGGCAGTTTACATTTTTTGACAATGACATTTTCAAGCAGCTATCGAAAATGCAATAAAAAATTAAAAAGGTAGTATGAAATAGGTACAAAACATTTAAAAACTGATTAAAAGGAAACAATAACGAGATCATACCAAAAAGACCATTTATATCCGAGGTCAACGGCAGTTGAAGGTCGTCACGTACTAGCAGCAACAAATCGTGAGCTGGCCATCCGGTCACTGACAGCACCCGCACCTCGCCCAACGATTCTTCATTACTGGCACCAGCACGATACTCCATTTCTTTTAGAGATGCATAGTGCTCTAACAAAGCATTCTATAAAATGTATACAAATTCTCATAAATTTTATAGAAAAGTATTTGTAATATAAAAAAAAGGCAAGATGTAAAAAAGGCAATTTCTAATCATATTTTAGCATTTATTTCAGCCGTTAATTGTCCACTGCTGAACATTAGCCTTCCCCATTAGGGGAGTTTTGCCAATAGTTGCCACGCTTGGCATGCGGGTTGGCAACTGCAGTTAGATTTTACATATATTTCAAGAGGGACGCTGCTGCCCATCCCTCCACCATACGCTCCCTTAGTCGCCTCTTACAACACGGCGATATTTTAGCATATCAATACTAATAAAACTAATATATTAAAACTCTTTCAGTTTATTTGAAGACGCTGAACAGTCGAATTTGAAACATACTTTTTACATTTTGATAACTCATTTTTGAGGAAGGTTTTAGGCTATTTATTCGACATCATAAAGCGATCAGGGGTGAAATCTTCTAAATTCAATCATTCATCCAAATTTGACACATTAGGAATAAATACTTACGATTGCAAAAGAATCATCAAAATTTATGCAAAAATGGCAAAGATTTGTTTTAATACTATGCAATTGAGAACTTTATCTTCCTAAAGTTGTTTGATAAAAAAATTTATATAATTGTTATACCTGTTGTGACAAGACAGATTTCCGTAATTTGACGAACTCCCTTTTTTTAGTGGCCAAGATCCTCATCATTTTATTTAAGACACATTGAGGCAACACAGGTTCTTTGTCTAAAATTTAGAAAACTTCTAATTAGAACACATGCAGACAGAGACAACATCGGCATACAAAATGCATTTTATATAATGTTTTTTTCTCAAGAATTGGACTGCCTGCAATTCTTTATGATAAACTTACAACCAAATAAAATACAGTCAAATGCGTTATCCTTAAAGTTGTCCTAGAAGATGGAAAATTAAGTTATACAGGGATGGACGAGGTTATAATAATAGATAGCATTTAGTTCAGTTAGATACTTGGCTTTTAAGTAGGTAAGAGTACTAATACATATAATAATATAAAAAATACAAGTTCAAATCTTAAATGCGTTGAAATTTGTCAATAATCAATTATTTCTTTCGTATTTTAATATATTTTTCTATTCATTTAAAAAGATTGCTAGAAATTTTCGCGATAATTAAGGATTCGCAACATGACTCTGATGCCATTAGTGCTTTTACCATACTAGTCGTTTACTTGCATATAATTTTTACTTCTTCAGTAACAAAAAATCTAAAGGTGTTATGTGTTGTATTTTGTTTAATAATTGTCACATTTTACTCAAGAATTCATTGATTCAATATACTGTTTACCTTGTTCAGGATCTGGTTGAATATTGTGACATTTTTGTATATTTGTTGATCCGGGAGCAGAAGCTGGCGAGATTTTTTGTTTGTCCAAAAGTTTTCTCGGAGTTTCCTTTAAGTTTAAACCATTATGTTAAAATCCTTAACAAAATTTAGAAAGTAGAGTACTGTGGTATTTAATTATTTGTTACAAGTTACAATAACAGTTTGCAAATATAAATGAACCATTAAAAAGAAAACAATACAAAAATTTATCAATACGCAGTTTGCAACCTCACATTGTAAACATCATTTAACAGTAAGTTAGAAGTAAACGTTATAACATTTTTATAGATGTACATTACATTACTGATTACAGTTATGATCCAAACTTATTCTATCTCAAAACCATACAACGACCTCTTAAACCTAATAGTACTCTGATGAAAGATATCGAATTTTTTGCTAATTTTGTTATAAGACTCCGATGAATTGGATTATTTTGTGAGACATTGTTATTGGTAAATGAAATACTGAATAGCCGAGGGTGTCTAAAAGAGTGAATTTGAAGCACAGATGCTTTTATAGGATGATTGTTACACCTATGTATTACTATATATAAATACATTTACTATAAGTTCTAAAGGCTGATTTGCTATGTTTTAAAGATTATAAACATGTTTAATACTTACAAATAAGTTTTAATATAGGTAGTGTGCTTACCCGTGATGGTGACAAACTTTGACATCTCCTTTCTAAAGCAGCTTTATTTGGGTATATTGATCCCTGTTAATAAAAAACTCTCGATGTGAATAAATTGGAATAATATTCAATGATATACGACATATTCAAACGTTTTTAAAACAAAAGGCCAGTCAAAGGCAATAATTTTATTGCTTTTATTCACGCATACCAAACTGCCAAAAGCAGAAAATAAAAATAGGAATTCTTTTAATCCTTATGTTATCAAGATTCTCAGAAATCGATCTCATCGCTTGAAATTGTGCTTATTCATAAATACTTGTACAACTACTACTTATACTCTTTCGACTCTTTACTAAACTGGGGTTTTGCCAGTAGTTGCCACGCTTGGCAGATGGACGTACAACCGCAGTTAGGCTTTTGAGATGTTTTAAAAGAAAACCTGCTGCTCATCCCTCGCCCTCCCTTAGTCGACTCTAAAACACTTATAGAGAAAGGAATGGGTGGCCTATTCTACGCCTAAACCATGTGGGAAAAAAACTGCTTACTAGTTACAAATATTTATTTTATTTATTTATTCATTAGTACTCGTACATATCTATATGTGCACATGGCGGACTTAATGCTGAAATCATTACCTTCCAGTCGACCTAGGGAAGTGTCAGAATACTCGAATGCAGTAATAGGTACAAAATACTGTTTTCACATGACATACCTATATAATAAACAATCATGACAAGTTAAAGTTGTTAAAAACAAGTTGAGTGACGACATCTTAATATTACAAATTATAAATTTGAAAGTTTGTAAAGATATTAAGATGTTTGTTACTCGATGACGCTTAAAGAACTGAATGGATGTAAATAAAATTTAGAACACAGGTGGGTTTTATCTTAACATATAGAATAATTAATATACTAGTTTACACGGGCAAAGCCACGAGAAGCAGCTAGTTAGAAATACTGACTCGTCCATTAAACTTCTAGTAATTTGGTTATTTACATTCTAAACCCATGCTTTACAATTAAATTGCCAAATTACTAGAAGTTTAATGGAAGACTAAAGACTGTACTTTAGTTACCAACTGTATATTCTATTCCAGCTAAATAATATTACTTAAATACACGTATATAGTTAAATACAGGTATATGTAATAAACATACTCGAAGACGAGCACCAATTGGACTGATGGAGTGTCCTCGCTTGTTGCCAGGCGTATGTAGTCCCCGTTTCTTTATTCCCGTCTCCGTATCTATTACACATTATCTTTAATTGAATTATCAATATTTGCTTCGATGTACGAGTAAATATCGAACACATAATTCACAAACGTACTCATACTTACAATAGAGCTATTTAAATATATTTTTAACATAAAGAAATTCTTATAATTTAAGCTTAAAAGGGAAACTGTATGAAAGTCGTCTACATGAATACGTCTGTCTAGGGTTACCAACATTTTTTTAGTTGTTTATGGTATTTTTTCAAAATAAACCGTAAAACAATAAGACATGTAAATATTATGTAGGATTTTTTGGAAAGTTTTAAAAAAGATGATTGTATGTGTGTCACCTATTTGTTTCTATAAAACCATCTATAAAAAAAATCTATTACCTTCATTTATTTATTAAAAGACCTGACAAAATTATAAATAAATTTTGACTATAAATTTTCATTATCGATTTCTTTTATTACTTTCTTTCATTAATATAAATTATAATAATGATGACAATATTTGTATATAATATTTTAATAATATTTTTTAGATTGGTGAAATTGAGCGAAAAAGGCTTGTTAATAATATCTAATAAAAATATGGTGCAGTTAAAAAAAACCGTTAGACTATCAAATTTGGAAATATTTTTATCATCAAGATCATTACAGAAGGGCAAATTGAAGGTGACGATCGATTCGATAGGTACTGATAACATATTTATCTATAACAAACATGACAATAACTAGCTAAAATCCTTTGAGAACTGTTTGAAACTTTATAACATGTATTAAGGTATTGTTCCATAAAAAGTAAGTTACATCAAACGTAGTACAACTGAAAAAAAATTAACACGACAATAAATTTTATCAAATGTAAAAAAAGCATTATTATGAAATTATTATTTATCATTTATTTGTGTTATTATTATGCAGTACTTTTTTTAAAATTGGTTTAAATCTGATGAATGTATTGCGTAACACACAGCTAAAACTAATTCATTCTGTGCTAAGTTCTAATATTTTACAACACATAGAATTTATTTACCTCTACGCGGCGAAAGTGCTGGTTGTGCAGTTTTCAACATAATGTAGTATTTTTTGTAATTTTTATAATATTTTATTAAAAATACTAATAAAATTTTAATTTTAATCAACCTTGTCAGGTGTGAGACATTTTGATTCTAATGTCACATCAGATAATTTTCTGAAATATTTGTAGATGAAAGAAGTTTTCAACCTAATGAATGACAGCCTAAATATGTTTAAAAACTATAAGTGAGAAATCTCTTATCGCAGACACTATCCTTAATCTATAGGTACATTGTTTCAAACTATTTGTACAAATTCAAGTTCAATGTTTGTATGTTTGTTACTCAATGACGCTTAAACGTACAAACGGTTTTAAATTAAATTTAATATGTAAATAGACTACAATCTATGAAAAAAAAAACAAGTGCGAGTTAAACTCTCGTAAAGAGGGATCCGTACGTTGATCAGGTATCTATGTACGGTATAGTATTTAAATCTAACCCAAATTTGTTTGTAGTGACAAAAAAAATATGTGTGCAGTTGTAACGCCACTACTGCAAATGAAATCATACCCACAAATATGGAGAAATTTACTTCTTATATATTTTCCGATAGTTTATAGGTAAATTTTAGGCCTAGTAATTTAGTTGATAAGGAGAGCGGGATGGTCAATTATCACCTGTTTTCTTATATAATTTCATTATATATATATATGTCACACAATACCTACCAATACCTACCAATAGTACCTATACTAAATTTCGACTCAGTCCGTCTAGTAATTTCGGAGTGGATTGACTGTAACAAACAGGCCAATACACTGACACGCAGATGATTCTATAAAAATGCGTTTTTTCCTAATTATTATTCCTAAATAATGTTGCATGTTTTGATTGTCAATTTATTGTGTGTGTGTCAATTTATTAGCATAAATACATCAAATTTTTAAATTATTGCAAAACGGGTACATGCTACTAATTGTTCTAAGAACAATATTTTACTTAATTACTCAAATTATATAAAAAAATACAATACTACTAAAAATTAATAGCAGTAATTATCGATAACAAATTGATAAGATACTTTTAAGGTTAGTTTCAACAGACTTTTAGGGGATTAGATTACGTACATTTCACCCTTGACATAATTATTTAAAACAATTATATGATTTAAAGTAATCTGACAGACAATATAATTGATAATAAACGAGACAACGTAAAAAGTGCAATAGTAAAATTTATTATTATTTATTTATTATTATTACTACTCTAAGCACATCTTTATCATATTAGTCGTTAACTGTCCACATCAACATAACATAACATAAGCCTCTCCGTATTAAGAAGTTTTACCATTAGTTGTCCGCTTGAGGTAGATTGGTAACCTCAGTTAGGCTTTGGTGATGATTTTTAAAAAGACGCTGCTGACCACTCCTCGAATATTAAGTTCCCTTAGTCGCCTCTTATGATATCCACGGAAAAGAAAGGATTTTGGACCGGCTTAGAATGGGTCCCTTAGCTGGGTTATACCAAACAAAAAATGTATAGGTGTGGAATAAACATTCATTCACAGATGGTATAAGTCTAGATCTTTCCTGTTTCTGTTGTGATAAGATGCAAAATATGTATTGTGTTACCTACTTGTTGATTATTTTGGCTCTTTTATAGATAAACTCACATTCTATATGTAGTAGCTTCGACATACGCCAGAAACTCCATAAAAACCCTTATAGCTAGTAGTGAGGTGAGTAAATAGAGAATTGAATATCCTGAAATCGGAATATACAAGATATTATAATATACAAGATATAAGAAGTTTGTAAGCATACAAAACTTGTGCATCATAATCATGATGAAACTAATCGTCATACCCTATGAAATAAATATACCTGCATAAAGTATCCACTTAATAATTATAATCTCGATGGAATACCTTCTTACTTTTTTATGTTCTAATTTACATTCCTTAAAAATAAAATACATTTCTTTTTATACCACTGAGGTAGCAAACAAGCATACGGCCCACCTAATGGTAAGCGGTTACCGTAGCCTATGAACGCCTGCAATACCAGAGGTATTACGCGCGCGTTGCCGACCCTGAAGAAACCTCTTTACCCCCTTTTGAAGAACCCCATGCTGTAGTCTCTCGGGAAAACCTCGGCAGGGAGCTCATTCCATAACCTGAGTGTTCGTGGGAGAAAGCATCTCTGAAACCGCGTTGTACGCGACCATTTAGGCTGTAAGGTATGAGGGTGAACTCCCTGTCGATGGCGAGCCGTACGATGATAGAAAGTGGTCGTAGGCATCATATTGAATAATTCCTCTGAGCACAATCCGTTGTATAAGCGGTAGAACACGCAGAGTGAGGCAAAATCTCTCCTAAAACTTAAAGGTTCGATACCGCTTGCAAGCATGGGATCATCGACAATTCTCATAGCTCGTCGTTGCACTGAGTCGAAGGGTTCAAGCTGGTATCTAGGTGCTCCCGCCCATAAGTGACAGCAATACTCCATATGGGGCCGGATTTGCGATTTGTAAAGCATTAATCGCTGATCCGGCGTGAAGTAATGCTTCGCTCTATTGAGCACACCGAGTTTTTTGGATGCCAGCTTCACCTTATCTTCGAGGTGGCCACGGAACTGTACGTTACATTATAAAAAGGTACAACCAGATCAAAATATATACTCGTAATAATATCTTATTACTTTGTAGGTAAACCGTTTGCCCTTATAATCTATTGAAAAGACAATAGGTAAGTAAGTAAGTATGTACAGTCATTAGGTACATTATCACTCGAGTGTCTCAATATAAGAGTATAACATAATGACAGGATTATTAACACACTACTCCTTGTTTCAATAACACATTAGTTATCTGTGTCCTAAATACAAAAGCCGTACTTGAAATAATATCACTCGTTTAGAAGTTAAACAATCGGACGTCTTTTGCCCAATAATGCGTGAAATTTATGACTATATTTTATCTATAACAAATAGTTGTTATCTATATACATAATAATTGTGTTTACGTATAGTTATAAAGGTAACAAACAAAATGTATTGACATTAACTGTTAAGTAAAGCTCATTGAAATCAATCCTCTATCTCCGTAGATATGTCGACTGAGGAAACTAGAAATAGGTAATATATAGCAACATCTATGTATATATTGTACTCGAAATATTTATATATTAACCCAATAACGAATATATTAAATGGCAGTTATCTATACAAAAAAGACGCATTATGTACTCTCAGACTTGTCTTTACCTAAAGCTGAAAACTTTGCTCTTTATTCTTGGGTGGACATGACTCACTCAGCCCCCTTTTAAATACGTCTATGGTTATCCAATATATAGAACTTTATAATGATGAAGCCGATCGAAATTAATATATTAACAACATCAAAATGGGTGCTGACATTATTTCCGCCCTTTCTGGACATTTCAGAGGAACTCAATATATAAATTTCGAAGCAATGCTGATATTACCCGTGCTTATCTGAAATGACTAGGTACTTTTCAAGGACATCGTAAGAGAGTAGGCGAAAATGTGTGTTGATACGCGAGTGAAAAACTCGAAATAAAATACTAGCCAAATTCTCTGTCAGCACTTGACTAAAATACTTTTACTTATACTGTGCTAATATCTGCCTCTTATGGATAGAAAACTGAGCCTAGTAATGGAACATTCATAGGTCGTTAAATGACAGGAAGACGATTGATAAATTTTAATTTTATATTTAATTTTTGAGTACGGTTGCGGTGAGAATGTGAGACGCAGTATCTGGAAGAGGACTATGAAATTATAACGTTTTTGTTAATTAAAAATATTAATTGTAATACTATATATATACGGTACTTATTAAGTGAACCTTAATACTTACTTTCAATGTTTTTTTTATAACGTAATCTAAATTTAACGCTCATATTAATCGCTTACATCAAAAGTTTCCTAATATAATAATAATTATTATTTTTAGGAATAGCATCAGAACAAGAGCGTGCAATATTTACTTGTTTCGCTCTATAGCCACAAGTAATTCTTTTCGTCTCAGATAATAACCGTCCAAAAAACGCAACGCAATTGGTACAAAGTGGGAAGTTTCAACCTTAAATGCCGTGATGATTAGCCCCTTTATTTCTTATAAATATTGTTTCAAACAAGCACAGTACAGAATTATTAATTATTATAAAATAAGATTAAATAGATAAGAAGAAGATTGTATGTTAGGTGCTATTTTTAAGATAACTACTTAAATAATCTCATAAAATTTAACTAGAATTTAAAACGTTCTTATTTTACATGGGTTATATTTTTTCTTTACTATTTTTTGTTTTTATGCAACGATGCTAGTGATCAGATATATGATTTATATGGGAAGCAATTACCATAGTCAATGGATGTCTATGGTACCAACGTAATCACGTGCATATTATTTAACTTTGAAGAAAAATTTAACGGCCTTCTTTTTTAATTTTATGCTGTAAATAAATAAAAAACACTTTTAAAAACTAGGATTAGTTCTCATCCCTTAACCTAAACTTTTGTGGGATAAACTTCTCAGAAATGTATGCGATCTTTTAGGTTTTGCGCTATTAAATATATCGAGATTTTTGGATGCCAACTAGGCCGTATTATTTAGATTGCTTCTGAAGTGGACTTTGCTAGAGCTAAAAAAATCGTCATCTATAAAATGAGGCAATTATGAAACATTCAAGTTACGAATTTTATAATTAAAAACTTTGTCATAAACTATTGTAAATTACATTTCACAGTTGTTTTCTGATCAGACTCGCTTGAATACCATACCAAATTATTAAGGAATCCTTATTGTTTCCTAGTTCATTTAGACAGACACCTGACAAATAACATACAATTGCTACGAAACATATATACTTTTGTCATCTTATTCACCTGAAACAATAAAGTTGTTTATTATAATACGAGTATGTATCTATTTGAATAAAATTATAAATATTATGTTCAGTATTATTGCTTGTTTCTATAAAATATGAGTACTTATCTATCATGGATTTTTATATATTTACGTATTTATTTTTTATTTATTTAATCTAAATAACTTCATTGACCACAGGAAAATCATTTTATTTATCTGATTGCCTGATGTTGATGACGCGGTATGTAGAGAATAAAGTCAATATACTAACTTCTATCTATAAATACTGGTCGTCGTACTCCTCCGAAACGAGTCGACCAATTTTTATGAATTTTCCTATTTATATTTGAAAGGTTTGAGAATAAGTCTTAAATGATATTTCATATTGCTTAGTGATTAGGATACCCCTATTCAGAAAAAAAATTATATGACAGAACAACGTTTATCAGATTAGCTAGTCTCTACATAAATATCTACATGTATATAGTTCTGACATTCCACTTATTTACAAAACATTTCATATAATTATTTTTAAGAGGTCGAAATATTATTTCAAAAATATTATTTTAAGGTAATGCTTTAAAGTATTATTCGTTAGATGTTCGTTTTTCGTAATTTCCGTGATAATAACTACGAGTACATTAAGAGATAAGAGATCCATACTAATTTCCAAAATCAAACATGAACAAAATAGCTATTGGCATCGCTGCCTGAACTGTTTACAGTAAAAACACATGTACTTATACAAAATATGAGTGAAAACAAATGTTGATCAGGTACAAACACAGAGGCATTATATCTTTATTTTTAAATAAGTATAATTATTGTTAGTAAGTTTCCTATCTCAGCAAATTATTCAAACTTATAACGGTAGTTCGACTAAAGTTGTTATAAATAGTACTATTTGAAAGCTAGGGTGCTTGGAATAAAGAATTTATGTCACATAATTTGCAAGCATACGAAAATAGTTTACAGCCAACGACTCTATCTCTACTTGTTTTCATTTAGCCGCCGTCCGCAAATCAGCGAGTCGTAGGAGAAATGAAAGGTATTTCGGGACACTCATTCCGTAAATATCGACGTCTGACCATGACCCTGGTTATTATTTATCTAACGCCCTGACCTCAATTAAAATAAAGAATACCTACATCACTTGCAAACTTTTGTCATTCTTACGCTTTTGTCAAACTCATATTTCGTATTAAATTATGTAAATTAGAACGTTTACGGTCATAGAGTTTCACCGATGTTGATTAAGGAAAGTGTTTTTGAAATATAACATAAACCAAATACATAATTAATGAATAGTCTTTACTTATTTGTTAATTTTGATTTGATTAATAAAGTTATTCTGGTGACTATTTACAGCAAATTCCATGGTCATTAGTATGTGAATTAAATTACCATTGTTGACGTTACCAAGCTCACAGGCAATATCAAGCCCTTAAATTTAAAGCGAGACTTTCTTCTCCTTTGTGTGTTCTACTACTTGTATAACGGATTGTGCTCTGAGGAATTGTTTGAAGTTATGCACACAGCCACCTCTTATCATCTCATCGCTCGCAATCAACAAGGAATATATCCTCACACGCTAGAACCTAAATGATCGCGTACAGTGCGATTTCAGAGGAGTTTCCTCCTGTGAACGCACAAGCTGTGGAATGAGCTCCCTACGAGGTATTCCTTAGAGACTACAGTATGGGGTTTTTCAAAAATAATGTATTAAGGTTTCTTCAGGGTCAGAAACGAGCACATCCTGGTGTCGTAGGCATTTATAGGCTACAGTGACCGTATCAGTAGAGAGGCATTCTGAGACAATTGGTATTGAAACACAAAAATAAAAATTTTATTTTTGTGTCATAAATATTAAGTGGTGTTGCATAATTTAAATATAACTAATACATTACATGGTGACCAGGATATTGGACGGGGGAAGAAGATTAGTATCATTGATTCGTAGGTTTGCTTGCAGCGCCTCAGGCAAATATTTAGTGTTTCAAATATTATTATTTTACTCATATAAGATTATAAAAATGATTGTTAAAAATACTATGTAAAAGATTGTGCAGAATGAAATAATTTATTTTATCGTTTGATGCTGGCGATAATGTTGTGCGCCGTGATGTTCCGAAGATGTAGTAGTGGTTTGGTTCACGACCAACGCTAAACACTTCGTCAGTTCGCTTATCGGCTGAGAGGTTGTCGATAAGGCATCGTGCGCTCGCGCCGCGGGCCAGTGCCGCGGACGACGTCGACCCACCAACTCACCGTCATATGCGCTCCGACGCTCAAACTCTGTATTCGCACACGTTTTGTAACTATAAACAATATTATACAACTGCTATGAACCTAAACCGCGACAACCGGCTTGTGTTTTGTAAACTTCGGTGTTGTGACAAAGGTTGTTTTTACTTTAACTTGTGCTGTTGAAGAGAAGCAAAGAGGAACGCGAGTAAGTTAATAAAGAAAATTTATTGATTAGGTAGATATCATCGCAAAAATAGTAGTCAATCGTAGTGCGCGATTTCACTGAGCCACTGTAACAAAACAAAAATAACACAGGGCAGCGACCGACATTAGTCCAATAGTTTATTGACAAATCATAAGACATCATGAAGCTCGGATGTGGAAGAGAACACGACGGCATCTATAGCATCGAAACGCGCGTGCGGTGCACTCGGTCGGAGCAAACCTCAGTTTATTTACTCTGACCTTTCTAATTTCACTCACCTCGGTTACAATGTGATACCTACCTAATATAACAAACAAGAGAACTATAATCAATTAGATTTCTTTTAAATCTTGTTTTCTTTTTATATATATATTTATGTTATTAATGGATATGTTCGGATAAAATGGAAACGTTTATTTTTTTTAGTTCAGAAGTTTAATAAATTCCTGTCAACTGCTAATATTATATGTAGAAGTGAATTTGTTTGTTTGTCATCTCTTGTTGCTGTAACATCTCAACCAAATAGTCTTGAAATGTAACATTATAACACAGTATTTGGGATGGAGAATGATATAGCCTAGTTATTGTCTGGTTCAATATATCAATAATCCCGGTCACGTGCGTAAAATTATTTAGGTATAAATTAGTTTTTACACGCGACTTTATCCGTTAACTATATATATTTTTATATATAGGTGTAAATTAGATATTTCCATCCCATAACGAAATAATAAATAAAAAATTGTTAAAAAAGGGAAATTGGTTATTTTCTGTACCTCTTAGGTATACATATGAATATAAAATAATTCATTTCTAATATTACGATATCATTATTTTAATTTAACATCTTTTATCCTATATAGGAAATTGGCCTACTTAAAACCAATTAACCTACTTAAAAACCACAGGCGTATTTAAGAGGAAACTAAGTAGTGCCATGCCGTAAAATATCTAGAGCTTATCCCAGAAAACTGCAACAGATATGCACAAAGACACGTCTAAAAGTACATAATACAACTTTTTTTAAAGAGCCAGACCCCCCCCCCCCTTCTTAGAAATAATCTTAAATATGCCAATGTTAAAAAGTGGTGTAAGTTTTATCAAAATTTGTTGAGTATACCATGAGAACATATAGAACGTAAAGATTTTTATTTGCGTCATGCGGACCGTAAAGATTTTTTTAATTAGATTCACATGTTTATGAAAAAATCACTACCGTGTTAGTAACAGATATTTACATCGTGTCTTAAAGAACTAACCATGCTTTAAAATCAATTTTGATTACCAAACAGACGCAGTCGCGGGCACAGCTAGTCAAAAATAATAACATAACTGTTCCTAATTACATTTATTTAATATCACCAAATAATACCTCCACCTATTTACATGTTATGAGACAATAAATGAACATTTGAGTATTACGTAGTCCATGTAAAACAGATAAACTACCTACCTAATGACGTAAAACTTTTGATTTGATAAATAAATATAATGTCCTTATTTTCCATAATAACATCACGGAAAATATCAACATCGCTATTTAGTATTTTTTTATACATGCTCTACAAAGTAACATAATAAATTTTTAAATGGTTTATATGCATGCGTAAATATCTGCTGAATATAATATTATTTATATATATATAGCCTTATTTATCTTGTCGTAAATTGACTATATTATCATTATTTATCATAGATTATTTTAATAGAGTATATTAGATAGTTATTCTGTTCAATCGTTTGATTGTTTATTTTTGTTTAAATTCTATTATTTATTTATTTTATACTTTATTGTACATACTAGTAGTACATAAAAAATATGACAGAGGAAAGCGTATGCACAAAGGCGAGCTAAACTGTAAAAGAGTTCTCTTCCAACAAATCCAAAGTGGAAAGAAGCATCAATGTAGAGCGGTGTACAATATTGTGACAATTTTGGAACAAGAAGACTATTACATATATTCAGATCACATTAATTAAGAAGCGAAACATAATGAAGTAGCAGCAGTAGTAAACTTCAATAGAATTTAATAACAATATACATATATAATAAAATGTATTCGCAAATAAAACATATGTAAAGAATTGAAAGTCTTACCTTTTTTCATCAAGCATGTATGTTAACAATTCGTCTTATAACAACATTTGGTCATGGTCAAGATGATCATTGGATCCATAGACTTAGTATAACGTACTTCATAATCTAAGATCAGAGTGAAGTTATTACTTATATAAAAATTATTGTTGCAAATTGTACTCGCACTTAGATCATCACGTGTCCTAGTTTTTAGTTAAATATAATGCCTTCGCGACGAGAAGCATAATTTACTGAAAGTTTTCTACACAGAGCGCAGCCAAAAAAAAAAAACAGGTCATTGTAAAACTGTTTTGAAATGGTCTTCCTTTATTTTTAAATAGGTACATTTCTTGTAAGCAATAAATAAATAAACTGTGAAATCATACTAATTTATCATTATTCAAATTTTATTTTATCATGTTTTATTATCGTACAGGTTAGGACAACCGACTTATGTACATGAAAAATATCACGTGCGCTTTACCGATGCTTATCACTATAAAAAAACTATTAACCTTACTTATAGCCTGGAATCCAATACAACAAAATTGTACATATTGAATATAAAAAATTCATCATTATCAGAATTGTATGTTCAAATTACCATAAGTATTTTATGGCCATAAAATATTTTCTTTGCAGGATATTATTTAGTTGTATATTTTTTAAATAAATAGCTCTGTAATAGGTATATCTAACAAAAATTATGTTTTATATTAATACAGTATGGGCTATATACTATCTGTGCACCAAATTTCACTCAAATCTGTACATCTAGTTAAGTGTGGCTCAAACCTCTATATACATTCAAACAGCTTTACAAATCTTGACATCTTCCTTAATTCGATAGAAAGGATGTGACGGTTCGCCTATAGTACAATAGGTTTAATACCATAAGTACATAAAAGAAACAGGGGTTCCTATGGGTGACCGCTGCGAAAGCTGAGCTATTTAATATAAACAAACTTTAAAGTCAAGGTTCACAATAGCGTACAGAGAAGACGTTACCATATATGAAATATTGACACAGAAGGGAAACTCCTTTGATGTGTTTCCAAAGTGTAGTGGATGTCACAAGAAAATTAAATAAATTAAACAAAAATATATTATATTTTATATATAACCAAATTATAGTTTACCTTTTTATCATCAGGTGTAAAAAAGATACATACAACACAGTTTAATAAGGTTTATGAGAGCCTTTAAAGTTTTATAAATTCGATAATCAATTTAATATAAAATACCAAAATACGTTAACATATAATTAAATTGAATTTAAAGAAAAGTTCAGTTCGAATAATAGGCTAAATCTGATTATTGAAATATCTACCCTTCGGTGACATAATCGTTACGTTATTAGAGAAAGAATAGAAAAAAAAAGAGAAAAAAGAGAGACGGCAGATCGGCGGGCGCGCGGGGGTCGCTTTTTAGGAATTGCGCAATAAAAGAAAAAAAAGAAAGAAAAAAGGACGGCAAATGGCGCGGGAGTCGTGTTTTAGGGATTGCGCAATAAAATAAAAAAAATAACTGGGATATAGATCGAGGAGGGACTGGTTCGATGAAAGGGTTTGAGATCTTAGTGTATCACTATGATTAAGTGTGTGAAATTAATCAATAGAAGACTGGAGAATCCGGTGAGCTTGTTCCATTTATTACTACGTAGTTAGATTTTTGACTGTGATCACAGGCAAAGTCTATACTTAATATTTTTCCCAACAACTATTAAAATACGTATTTAGTCGAGTCCATATACCTTTAGGTAATGCGTATATCGTTAAATGCAATCACATTTGAACAAAGTTTACATCAATATAATTTACGTACTTACGTTATTCTACTCATATACAAAATCCAATTATATGGTCGTTTGATAGAACTTCATCAATTTGATTCAATGTTCTAATTGTCCAGTTTTGGAAAATACTTATTGAATCAACTATTGAACTATTACAATACTAACTAGTTTCATATCTAATTATTATAAAGTATTTATTTATTGAGAATAATAGACTAAAGTGACTATGGTCTGGTCTCATTGCTGGGGAAACAGCCATTGATGAGAGAGAGGGGTTATTGAGTGGCGACCCTGTAAATGCAAGTGCGGTGTGGGCTGCCTCCATTGTTTGGAGTGACTGTTTTATGTGTATTGTGGGGCCGTTCCTTGTGTCAGTCGGTGGAAATTGCCTGTGTTCAGTCGTGGGTTGGTGATGGTTGAGACGATGATGATGATGAAATATTTGTATTTATTACACTATTACAGTGTTGGTTTGGAATATCTGTTCATACTTAACGCTTCATGGTGAAGTGTTTTTATACCATTACTCGGTCGACCAGATTAATGATTCTTAGTCTATATTTGATTATCCATGACTACATGTGGGGATTTGTTTTACACCAGATGTACAAAGAAACAGCTTAACTGTTGCAAGTGATATTATGTGAATGTAATACTTTTAATACATTATTAATTGTGTTACTAGATAAATTCATGTGACTGTGGGGTGTTTATGGTAAACAAGCCTGTATTGTTTAAATAGATATTTTGTCTTGATTTATTATAAACTTTAATATTGATTTTGTTGTAGTAAGCAAGCTGATAATAACAATTCTGTGTGTATTATTGATTACTAATAATATTTAATTATGTTAATATTATAGGTGTGGATTTAATTCCTAATGGTAATAAAATTATCAAATGATTCTCTGTCAATAATTACTCTTAACTAGGTATGAGGTTCAGTATAAAATTGGTACTGTATGACACTTGTGAAGCTATGTATTTTACTCATATTTAGAAAGGAAGTTGTCCTGGCGATAAGTTTTGTATGTGTGTTGTTTGTTCATGTTATATTGACTAGACAAGTTCAGACAGGGTTAATATTAGTGAATATTTACTGGATTTATATTTAATATACATGTTTTG